GTAGAGTCGGTCTTCTCCCAACCGGAAGGTTGGGGGTTTGATCCCCAGCTCCTGCAGCAACATGTCCGATGTGTCCTTGTGCAAGATATTTGACCCCCTGCTTTGTCAGTGACTTATGAATTGGATTAGTTACTTCAGTGTGTGACTGTGTAGGTGTGAAAGTGCTTTGAGTAGTCATCAGACTAGAAAATAACTCTACAAGCTCCATTAACCAATTGTACCATTTTTCCTTTTCTTCAAATTTGCATCATGAGGTTATGTTGGCAAACCTATAATGTTTTCTAAATGCAAATAAATCACAAAAAGATCGACCTGTTCTCGGGTCCATACAGTTATGAGTGGAGCCTCTGTTTAACTTACTATTTACAGTTAAACTGAGACTCAGCAGAAACAGATGAGCATTATCTCTTTTGATAAAAGCACACAATCCCTTTTCAAGTTGCATTTAGGAACGTGAAAAAATGAAGGACAGATAAATAATAACTATTTCCTGAAAGTCGTGTAACACTTACCGCTGGCTACACCAGAAAGCTGGAAAAATGGGAGGCTGATGGGTTCTGATACTGGTTCTGGTCTTGTTCAAGGTAAACTTAATGATATGTAACCATGACAACAGTACAAACTGACTGACCCCTGGTTAAACTGACTATAAAACACTTTAGAACGTAAAGGTGGATTCAAACACCGGCTCTATTTGTTGCTTTGTTGAGTTAACATGGTATTGGAGACGATAACAGTCCTCCAGGCATCCTCGTAGAGACAACAATGGAATCCCAGGTGTCCAATTAGAGAGTCATGGATTGTTAGGTGTCCTTGTAGATAAAGGAAATTTTGCCCAAGGCAATAATTGGACTCCAGGTGTCCTCATAAAGATGGCATTGGTATCTAGGTATCCTTCTAGAGATAAAGTGGACTCGAGCTGTTCATGCTAGGATACTAAAGTACACTAAAATAAAAATGGGTGGATAGTATAACAATGTAGTTCAAGGTGCTGTGTAGACTCAAAGAGGGACTCCAGGTGTCTTTCTGGGTTCAAGGTGTGCTTACAGAGGCAAACTAAGACTCAAGATTAACTTGTTAGGATAGAAATGGACTCCAGTGTCCATGTTGAGACAACAAGGTGCTGCAGGTGTCTACATGAAAGTAAAAGTGGACTCCAGATGTCCTCATAGAGATAATAAAAGATCCCTAGTGTTTAATTGGACTTCAAGACCACAATGGTCTCCAGTTCAGTCCAAACTGAGACAGATTAAATTGTTGTTCTGCCATAATGTAGACATACATAATAATCCTCTTCAAAGCATGTACACAAAGACAGCACAATGGACTCTTGGTGACCACAGCTGATTGCAGATGTCCTCATAGAGACCATAATGGACTGCAGGGTTCTACTTAAAGACAATGGTGGACACCAGGTGTCCATTTAGAGACAATAAATGACTCCAGATTTTTGCACCAACGGTTCTTTATTTTGAAATCTGTAGGTCAAGGTTAGAATTCTTCCAACCAATGACTAATCAATCCATTGAACACACTGCCTGAGCACAATCAGAGTGCATCACAGCAGACTGCAGCAGATCAGATTAGTAAGAGGAGAAAATGTGATGTGAACCCCCCCTCCCCTCTCTCTCACTGCACATAATTACCATGCATAGTCTCTCGCCCTTGTCTGCAGCATTCCCTTGTTTCTGATCTGCTTTAATTACCACCGGAATTTTAATTGGCGGGAGACAGCAAGGTGGCCGAGGTCACACATATACACACACACACTCACATGCACACACTCAAACACAGGCAAGCCATCACCCCCCGACAGCCTATAAGGTAAAAGACGGAGGGATCATTTGAGGAGAAGTGAGCGTGTGTTATCTGGGGAGAATGTGTGTCGCAGTGTATGGTGAAGGAAATTGATTTAATCACAGTCTCTCATCTCCCTGTCTCACATCAATTTAAAGTTTCTCTGACAGTTCAAATCCTGAACATATTAATCTAATAGGCTATATGTCATGGGATAAACATAAAAACATATTTGTCGAACAAGTATTGATTTTAAACGAAATACTGAGTATTACACATCCTTAGCCTATTAGTTAGTACATTAGTTCCACAGGGGTCAATCCTGGGTCCTCTAATGTTTTAAGTGGAAACACAACATCTGTGTTTGCAAATGTGCTGATGATACTTCTGTATATGTTGCTCTATCAGTTCGGTTCCAATCTGTTCCAGCAGGGTCTCCGGAGGCTCATCAGCAGCAGCTGCCATGATGGAAATCCTGTCTCAGCCTAACTTTCAGTCAACCTAACGACAGGCTGAGAGCTGGAGCTGAGGCGGGCTTTAAGCCTCTTGACAAACCGTTACATCGCGCCCACCTGTCAATTAGGTCTGCTACGTGCCTAAGTATGGATAGGACGTATCGCTCTCAAAATCAAAACAGAGCCGTCTTAAAAAAAAGTTCACCCCCGTACAGTGTGTGCCAGTGAGGACAATAACTAATCAGACATATTTAATTTTTTGAACCAGGCTGTAAACATGTTAATTTATGCTGTAAAAACGGCTTTTTTTTAATGTGGTGTTTATATGACTTCCAGTGTTCCTGAAGCCAGCCTCTCGTGGACACTCGAGGAACTGCAGGATTTTACACTTCCGCATTGGCAAGACCGGAAGTTTCCACTCTCTCACTCTCTCCCCGATCTTGACTCTTTCAATCTCTGAATAAAGGCATGAAAAGCCCAAAAAATAAACCTTCAAAAAAACAACGAGAACAGCAACAAAAATCTGGCTTAGCTTTACAAGATGTTTGTTTTGTTCTTTTATGTTTAGGCTCCAAAACGTCTTGGCTAGGTTAAGGAAAAAGGTCATGGTTTGGGTGCAAACAAGTACTAACATACTGGTTTGAGTCAGGGTTTAGAGTTGACCAATGTACTCACGATACTAGCAAGCATACCGTACATGACTTAGAATTATTTTTAAAATATCAGCATTGTGTAATGGTTGCCCATGACAATTGATCTCTAGTACAGTAGACTCTTTACAGACTACATTTTAATCTACAGGGTTTTATGATTTTAATCTTGTCAGGTGTTATATTTAATATTATGCTAAATAAAAACAACTAAAAGTGACTAAAAATAAGTATATTTTTAGCATTAGCTTGTTGGTGTTTGTTGCAGCTTTAGCCAACTTGTGTCTTTTTGTCTCTTGGCATTTATCGACCTTTGGTGAATATGAGTCTATCAGGGAAGTTCTCTAGAAATAACAGTTGAGACACTTCATTATATTGACTGAATAAATGTCACGTTGTCACTTTAAGACAAATAAGGAAGTAATTGTGAGATGGTTGAAAACGCATGCAGGTTTCAGTCAGTTAAATATCGTCACCTCCTCCAACTCGCCCTCCAAACACAAAATAAGCTCTTTCATATGGAAATGCACTAATTGATTTCCTAAAATCCACATTAAAGCCCTGTATAATTGTGCTTGCTGTTTTGGAGCAATTAAAGCAGAATTCTCCCAACAGTTAATGACTATAATGGGATTTGCGTAATTGAGGCCCCGGTTGAATAAGCTTTTGGGTTTTGTTTTTTTTAAGAGGCTGATTCTCCTCCTCGGTGAGGGCCAGTGGAAATCCACTGCAGGGTCTGAACAAACGGAGCACAGCAGAAGGAGGAACAGCAGTCTAACCTCTGACCTTTACACACAAAGACATTCCCCTGTTTCTGGCTGTACAGACAACGACATCAAACTTGAGCTTTTTTGACAGTTCTCTGCTGAAAGGCTTTTCACTTTTAAAAAAAAAACACATTAGAGGATTTGTTGTGGTTTTGTCTGTAGTCCTACCAATTACCTTTAAAGAGGAATAAGAGTTGAAATAGAAGCTCCATATATAAGTAAAGCCTCTCTGTGGATCAATGCTGATGCTGGTATTTTCAGTCATGCGTTGAGGTTTTTTGGGTTTGTTTCTAAAGTGCAGTTGCTTGTTTGAGCTTGTCTTTTTCTTAGACCTGGTTGCTTATTTCTCTTGGGAGATCTGACACCAGTTGTGATCCTCTTTGCAGTGGCTTTGGGTTTGAATCTGACATCGGCCCTTTGTCTGTCGTCACCCATTCTCTCCTCCTAATGTTTCCCTTCTCTCTTCAACTGTTCTGTCCAATAAAGGCAAAAGTGGCCAAAAAATAACTTAAAAAAAAAGAAAGAAAAGAAATGTCTGATCCAAGTCAAGGAAAATCTTGAATTATAATTTTTTTGACCTTTTCACTCAATCTTGGCAGTTATCAGGATTGTAAACTTGACTAAGAAGGCTTTAAACTGTCCTGATATCACAAAAAGCAGTTTCATATAAGCTAAATTCACAAAAAGTGGGAGCACAGATAACCTAGCAGTTAGTGCGTGCGCCCCATGTACAGAGGCTATACTCCTATAAGCGGGTGGACCAGGTTTCAAATCTGATCTGTGGCCCCATTCTCCCATGTCATTCCCCACTCTCTCTCTCTCTCTCTCTCTCTCTCTCTCTCTTCCTGATTTCTGCCTCACGTCCCATTTTGAGTGTCTGCTGTGCAAAAAAAGTACATGACTTGATCCGAAGTTGCAGTATGCATGCATGTGATGAGATTTGATTGTGATGGGTGGATTTCTTGGCTTGGTAATGCAAGACACGAGGGGCAGCGGTGTAGAGGACAACACAGCAGCTGAAGACAAGTCACCGTCGCTACACAGAGACAAACATACATGTCAAACTAGCTGGTGATAAAAAGTTTAATTTAAGAAGTCGACCTGCAAAAGATACAATCAGGATAAGATGATACTCCGGCCCTGTAGGTGTCTGCGTGATGTGGCTCAGTTTTCAGAGTTGTTTGACCTGAGAGTGAGTTTCAGTTAGCGTCAGAACGAGAAGGTTTAAGTTTCTGAAGTTAAGGAGAAAAAATGCTCAAAAGATCAAAATGGTAAACAGGAGATGAAATATGTGCTGCTGACATGTGTGTGCCCTCTCTGTCTCACCTCAGCGTCTACGGCTGCCCGTTGGCCAAGAAGAGGAAGGCTCTGGAAAAACAACCGCTGGAGCCGGCTGCCAAGAGGAGACCCTTCCTCACCTCCCGCCCGGGGGAGGAGGAGGAGGAGGAAGAGGAGGACGATGCCGGCGCCTACACCAGCTACCAAAACGAAGCCATGGGGGTCGGGCCAGTGGGGAAGGAGCAGGGGGAGGTAGTGGAGGAGGATGAGGAGGAGGAAGAAGATGGGGAGAGAGAGGAAGACGACGGGGACGTGGAGGACGAGTTCTCAGAGGAGGAGGAGGAAGAGTATGAGGAGGAGGAGATGGAGGCGGGGCGAGCGGTAACGACAATGGGAGGAGAGCAGGTGGAGGAGGAGGAGGAGGAGGAGGAAGAGGAAGAGGGGATGGAAGATGAAGAGGATGATGTAGAGGATGGTGATGATGAGGAGGAGCAGGATGATGAGGAGGAAGAGGAGGAGGAGCAGAATCGTCAGCATGGTGAGTTTACAAATTTGTTGATTTTGTCTTGACTACTTATTTCTGCACTCAGGCATTACTAACATATTTATTACCTCTGTATTATCACACTATTACCATCTTATGGTAAGTGCTGTTACTCAAAGTGCAACCTGAATTGATCTGCACGGTGAGGGGGGTTTAGGGGAAAAGCAGAGCGTGTAGAAACTATTGATGACTTTTGGTCGGAGATGATTGATGTAGAGCTGTCCCTGACTCGACGACAGGCACTTCTTCTTCTTCTTCTTCTTCTTCTTCTTCTTCTCCTTGAGTTTTTTTTAAATACTTCTTCCTTTGCTTCTGAGGCACAGCTCTGCCAGGTGTGGAAAACCAAATATTTACACAGAGATCCTCCAGAATGATGACAATCAGATCAGACGGCAGCACACCCGCAGCCGGGTGTGAAAAGTGTGAATCTCTAAAAAAAAATGTCCGAGTGTGGGTGCAGAGGCTTTATTACTACCATGCAATTTCACTAAAACTCTAATAATGGCATGATTGAAGAATGTATTTGATTTTTAGGTGGAATCTTAATGAATTGGGGGTAAGGATTTCCTCATAGAATCTCTGCACTGATGATTGATTGACCCGGTCACATGAGGTCACTTTTTTAGGAAAATACCAACAAAGTGCTGATAATATTTATTGTTGGAGGACGGGTCTGGAGCACATGCACTCCTACAAATTCAGGAGATCAAGTCTGAGGAGGCACGACATGGAAAGGAAAGGACGCTGCGGTCATAATGTTTCAAGATATCCAGGATGAACATGAACATCTACATTCAATTAGACACAGACACTTTCAACAATTCAGTTTAAATGAACATGCTGCAGAAAACAGTATGAAGCATCTTCACTGACTTTTTTCTGACTTGTACCGGCTGCGTTCACACATCAGCTCAACCCAACTTTTACAAGGAGGCTGGCAGGAAAGATTCCGGGGAAACTCGGGGTCAAGATTTTGTCCCAGAAAAGTTTTGTGCATGTTTTCTTGATAATCCTAATGAGACAAATCCAGAGATGATGCAGATTCAGTTCAAAAAGCTGGACTCCTGTTCCATCCAGTTTTTGGGTCAACCTGGAGTCAGTCTTGTGTTTTTAGATCTGCAGTCTGAGAAGAGGAAGATGACGAGCAGGATCTCTGGCCAACCAGACGCTCTTCTCTCTCTCTCTTTCTCTTTCTCTCCAACAAAATGTCCCTCGATCAACTCCCCTCAACACCCCCCGTGTCCTCAATCGCTTCTGACAGCGCCTTGCGAATAATCAGTTGAGGAGCTCTGCTGAGTTATTAACTCTCTCCCCCCCCCCACTGCTTGCCTCCTCGTCTCGGCGGACTTGTCACATGCGCTCCGCCTCGGCTGCTCCTCCTGAGAATATTTATGGCTCCCTGAATCGGAGCACCTCAAACGCCATCCTTTTCTTAATTCCTCCGCTCTCATTCGTCGTCTCTGTCCCCAAAATCAACTGACGGCTGCTCGGCTCGGCTCTGTGTTATGTGTTTAATGCATGATCATAATTATGAGGGGGGGGGGGGGGGTGTCTCATTGTATTCAGAAACATGTGATTGATTCATCTGCAGGATTTGAACAGATGGTTTCTAATCTACAAAATGTACTCACTTCCTGTTTGTGTTTCCTGGCCGAGGTTTGAGATGTGTTCTGTGTTGTTTGGTGAGACGTTTGTTCTTTTTTGTTTCCCGCAGTAGAGAACCACTACAAACCCAGTGGACAATCAAAGCTCCTCCCCCTCCAGAAGGACGACAACAACAACAACAGCTGCAACATCGGCGCCGGGAACGCCACCGGAGAGGAGTACGAGAACTACGACGAGCTGGTCGCCAAGTCGCTCCTGAACCTGGGAAAGATCGCAGAGGACGCCGCCTACCAGGCCATGACGGAGTCCGAGATGAACAGCAACTCGTCCAACAGCGCGGGAGAAGACGAGGACGATGACGACGAGGACGACGACGACGGCAGCGAGCGGGGCGACAGGAAGGGCGAGCTGAGCGTGGATCTGGACAGCGACGTCGTCAGGGAGACGGTGGATTCCCTGAAGCTCCTGGCGCAGGGTCACGGCGCCATGCTGCCCGAGGACGGTTACCCGGACGGGGCCATGGTGGACGCCGGCTGCCACGCCAACGGGAGGGTCAGCAGGGTTCGGGCGGACGAGAGCGAGGAGGAGGTGTGTCTCAGCAGCCTGGAGTGTTTGAGGAACCAGTGCTTCGATCTCGCTCGGAAACTGAGCGAGACGCAGCCGTCCGATCGCCCCGCCCTGCACGCCCTCCACCACCAACTCCACAACCCGACAGACCAGCAGCTAATGCATCACCTGAACAGGTACCCAACCTCTGAGTCGTTTTATTCTTTTAAGCCAATAAATAAAGTACTTAAAGTCTTCATATGTGATTTTTTTACACTTAAATCTAATAGAAATCAAGTATATCCTCTGAAAATAACTCTGTGAGTCATGACTGTCTACAATGGGTGTAACACCCGAGTCCCACTGTCTGTGATGTTTTCAGAGTTTTCAGAGTCCTATCTTCACTTTGTTTACATCGCCAGGACGGCCGGCTGACTCCTCCCCTCGTGTATAAAAGTAGTTTAATTGAGGGACTAGAGAAAAGAAGAATAACATACTGTACTCACTGCTTAACTGTGTTTCTAGATCACGCTCATTTCAGGTAAATTTACATGCAGTGTGAAGATACCAGCATAATAAAGATCGCTAGCATTAGCATGCTAACACAACAATGCAGCGCGAGTTGTTTTGGTTTCATGCTGGAGCTCAAGGGCGACATCTGCTGGATCAAAAAATCACATATAAAGCCTTTAACTTTGGTTTGTGACCCTTTACAATATCGCTTGGAAATCATCTTTAATTTGAGAGTTTCCAGACTTGTTGCATTTGAGGTTTAATAGTTTTCAGTCACGTGATTGGCCCAGAGCGTTGAGGGAAAGAAGAGTTTAGGGAAAGTCGCTGCAGCCATTGAACACTCTGCGGAGATGCAGCACAGGCTTTTAAATTTTCTGTCTCTTCAAATTGTTGCATATTTACATCACCTGACAACCACAGAAGAAACTGAGAGTTTGGGGCTCTTGTGACCCTTGTGCAGAAAACCAAACGGTCCTTTTATCCTGCAAAAAAAAAAACAGAATTCTGAGTATTGTGCAGGACGCTGGTGGTCATTTTGTCTCCTGCTCACCTCTCAGGTACGACAGCTGTCAGCAGGGTGCACAGGGGGAGCCCCGCTCTCTGGAGCGCAGCTACTCCGACATGGTGAACCTGATGAAGCTGGAGGAGCAGCTGAGTCCGGCGTCCCGCGGCTACCCGACCAGCTGCAGCCAGGAGGGTGACGAGGACACCACGTCGGTGGCGTCCGACCGCTCGGACGAGACCTTCGACATGGCCAAGGGGAATCTGTCGCTGCTGGAGAAGGCCATCGCTCTGGAGTCAGAGAGGGCGAAGGTCATGAGGGACCGGATGGCCTCGGAGCACACGTTCCCTCGCCGGGATCACCACCACCATCACCACCGCGGCCACGGCGAGCACAGCCCGAGGCTGAGCAGCTCCGCAGAGGAACGCAAGTCCAGGATGCACCACGACGGGTTGAAGAGGGCGTACTACCCTAAAGGTAAGCCGCAGGAAAAAACCTACACACACACTGACCCGCGCTGTGTCAGTATCGATCTGTGCTCAGCAAAGTTGTGAGGTTGTGAAGTCTCCTTATCGGTTCTTTATGGAAAATGAACGACTTGTGAGCGGTATAGCACAAACTAAATATTGTGTCAGACACATCGAGTGTTTACAACTTTAATATTTTCTGGGTTTTTTTTAGCTTCCCACTTTAACAAAACATCTGAAATGAGAGTTTTTCCCACTTTTGTTCTTCATCCAAGTGATTTTTTATGCTCAGATATTTTCACCTCTAGGAAGCAGGAAGTGTTGTCTGAGAGGTATTTTTCATGCCAGGGCTATTTTCATCCCCGACTCGACTTCTTAAGATAACCATTCAGGCTGTGTGTAGCTTTGCATCATTGAAACAACAACACTGTCCACAGCGACTGAACCAACACTGCAAAAACACAAACATCTTACCAAGTGTATCTCGATTCACTTATTATAAGACACATTCAACCAACAAGTCCAGACAAACATCTTCTTCTTCAAAAAAGCAAAACATCAGGACTGTGTTGATCGTAATGAGTAAAAAATATCTGCCAATGCAGAGAGCCGATTTTCAAATGAGATGTGCAAACTAATTTAGATGATACATCTCATTTTAAGACTTTTTAAAACTAAAAAGTAGAGGAATACACTCACTAAGATTTTACTTTTTGCAGTATAGTTTTGTAATAAAACTCAAATTAATAACCTTGGCTTTAATTTACTTCAATCTATAAAATGACCCGCCTGTAACTCGCGCTGAGCTAAGATATGAAAGACTATTGAATTTTGAATTTACAACAAAAATTATATTTCACAGCGTAAAACAGGACAGCATTAAATTTGAACTGTTATGTTAATCTCCATTTTAAAACTCACATATAGTCTGACAATTCTGGATGCCCAAACTATACTTATACTACTACTATAAAGTTTCAGATCATGAGGTAAATGTATGTTGGAGTAAGTCTGCAGAGGGCGCTACAGACGGCTTGTTCTGTAAATCACGTGATAAGTCCAAGAATTTCAAGAAACAGCTTCAAGTTTCTGTTAGCCGTTTAAGCTCAGCTGTCATCACGTCTTTGTACCTTCATACTGATTCTGTTACGGGGTAATGTTGGTGTCCCAGTGTGTGAATTCACATTGCGTTTCAGCGTTGCAAAGGGCGAGCTCCACATAAACATACAGGCAGATATGCACACACACACACAGCGCGGTGCTCCTTACCGCCTCGCCTCTGGAACGCCTCTGTTAGTATCTCTGAAGATGTTACAGAGGTGGGAATACGTCTTCCCACCATCTGCAACATTCAGATTAAAGGACAAATGTCACAGGCACGTTCATATCGCGGCTTGAATCTGCAGTCTGAACAGGCACTGCAGAGCAGCCCTCCCCTGGCAGCCCTGCAGCGTTCTGCCCCCCCCCACAAGTCTTCCTGAAACTTTTACACAGCAAAAAAAAAGATAATGAACTGTTACAAGCAAAACATTTACAGAAGTCACAATATGAAGTTAAATCAATAAAGTGAAGTTAAATCAATAAAATGAATGTTTTATTCTCTTCAACAAGTATTACAGATTCGAGCCGTTTCTTCAAATGTGTCATCTGATGATGTTTTTTTCACCACTTTCTGCCAGCTTTACATCACCTCTCTGCCTCACATTTGACCTGAATCAGCTTTAACCTCCAAAAACCCGACCCCCAGGTCAGCAGGGAGGAGGTTTAAATCCTGTCTGCCTGACTTATCCTAACCCTCAACATTTCAGCAGCCGGAGGCTAAAAAGCGCTGCAGCAGCAGAAAGAAACACAAAACTACTTCAACTTTAACAGTCCGTCTTTCCCTCCCAGGTTGGAACATTTCTGTGCACATCGTTGGGTTGAATGAGTTTTTCGGACATATCGGCTCTTAAAACATGTTTAAAATCCTGATGTGTTATTTCAGAGATGCTCTCTCCGTGTCCGCAGCTGAGATAATGGCGTCTCATTTTCTGCATTCAGGACCAGCACAGTTTTTTTTTTTTCTGCAGAAGCATGGTTTTTCCACTGACAGCAGCTTATGTTGTTAAAATAGGCCGGTGTGGGAACATCAGACGGCCGGCTTGTCAGGCATGAGTAATGGCAATCTGCACGGCCTGTTAGGAGAGCAAATCCATCTGTGGGACGCTTTCTGCGCGGCCTACTTCTCTCCAGCTCCGCTCAGAAAACAACCCCCGACCAACGCCACAGAGAGAGGGAGTCATCAGACACACAGCAGACTCACATCACCTTCATTAGTGCGGAGGGTGCATTCAGGAGTAAACAGGAACGTTTTTTATTATGATCGAGAGTCTCAACGTAGACGGCAAAGTCAGGCCGATGCCAGGTGTAAATGTCAGATCTAAGAGCTTTTAACTGGAGCTGATTCTCCGCTCGGCCCGTCTAAAGAGAGAGAGAGGCTTTAATGTCATCCATGGTTGTTTTCCAGTAATGTAGAAGAGCGTTCTGCTATTTGGCGTTGGAAGCTTTGATGCTTTATTGTTTCTTGATCAAGCAAGACCTATTTGACTTGCTAAACAAATCTGTTTGGCAGGGATGAAGAGCTAGGCTACCGGCCCAGTGTGGCGCCATGTGTGGTTCCACAGCCGATGACATTTGGTGACAACCATCAGTGTCCACGCTCTGCCACTGGTTTTCCTGTCCACAAAACCCCCACCTCCCTCTCATCTTCTCTTGTCTCTTCTCTCTTGTTCTTTCCAGACTCTTCCAGGGGAGATAAGAAGGAGAGTAAGTGTCCGACGCCGGGTTGTGACGGGACTGGGCATGTTACGGGTCTATACCCGCACCATCGCAGTCTGTCCGGGTGTCCTCACAAAGACAGAGTCCCTCCTGAGAGTAGGTCCCACTGCCTGGTGACATGCTGCACAGTTTTAAAAGCAGTCTGACAAGTCATTTAAGATAGCGTAGCACTAATATTATCCACCTTCAAATCCCAATTGGTAACTGACTTGAACCATTAAGGTCAGCTGAGAAAATGAGGCCACGTTTACACGAGAACGATCCTCTGAAAACGGGATTCTGACAACAAAGTTTTGATGCACATAGATCTGCAAAAACAACTTAAAATGCTGTAGTATACATGCCAGACCAGTAGATGGTGGTGTGAGTTTCATTTGAATCAACATGCACATGCACACATACTCGTTCTAGAGCGGTGAGGTGTAAACATACAAAAATCGCCAACATAAACGAGGAGGTGGGGTCGCTTCTCCAAGTGACCCTAAACTGCAAAGATATTACATTTCTAGAGAATGTCCACTGGGATTCAAGCCCAGACGTTAGTTTCCCATACAGGACTCTGGAGTCAGCCATTGTTTTTGTAGTTTTTGTAGTTTGTAGTTTATTTTTTTCCCCCAATTTAGACAGCGACAGAAACTGTGCCGTTTGAAAAGTTTGCACTCTGGAACCAGAGTTTATAAAAATCTGCATTTTCAGGCACGTTGTCGTCCGAACGAACAGCCGAAGCTCAACCAAAGGTTTCTGTTTTCACCTGAAATCGTTGTTGTTTAAACGTGGCCTTAAGTTAGCTTATGCTACCACCAGTTAGCTTACAAGAGCCATGGTGATGCAACAATGTCATGCCAACGAAATAGCTTTTTAGCCTGCCTGGTGTGACAACAAGTCTAGCCACGGAGGTGACTACTCCTGTGTATTTTGGAATAATGCTCCCAAACAATTTCTGCTCGTCCAGGTGTAATTGTCTTAACATCAAAACCAAAAAAAAAATAGAATCAGAAAAGTATTTTACCAAGATGCTGGAAAGTTGCGTTGGTGCGCCAAATCTATGATTTTCACATTTAACCATCCCAAAAATGATTTACCAATGGTGGCTTCTTAGCCAAAAACGAGGCTTTATTATCGGTTTATAAAAATGTCCGACAACACGTCACGCAGGAAAAATCTAGTTCCCAATGCTTCAGATGTGCATAGTCAACAGACCAGCGAGGCTAATGCAGGAGCTAGCATCAAAGCTATCAGAATCAGATATCGGAGCGGACGCTGTGAAGTTACGGCCGACATTTCAAAAGTCCTCGATGAAAAATGTCAATAAGCAAAAACAGGATAATCATAACTTGCTGAAATAAAACAAATAATAAGGAACTCATTCAGACCTGAAATGACTTGTTCGATGGACTGTGCAGTTGTGAATCTTGAACGATGTGTTGCATGTCAGTTGTCCCAAATCATGCATCGTCCTGCACGACTTATTATCTTTGTTTTTATCGGAGGTCTTCTTAATGATTTGGTAAAAGCTACAGATGGAGCTGAGGATTTAATTGTGTGTTGGATAAGAGTTCAGTACAACAGCTAGCCTTAACCTGAAGTTTGAATTAAAGGAAGGAGACGGACATTAGGGAGCAAAGAGACTGGTTTTCATGACTGGAAAATCTCCAGCTCTCAACACAGGGTCGGGAGGTGAGTCGACGCCACATGCAGCATTTGTCACCACTAGTTCATTGCCGTCTGCTTGGTGAGTCAGGGCCTAAAAGGATTAAATGTAATATAAATCAAGTATATCCTCTGAAAATAACTCTGTGAGTCATGACTGTCTACAATGGGTGTAACACCCGAGTCCCACTGTCTGTGATGTTTTCAGAGTTTTCAGAGTCCTATCTTCAGTTTGTTTACATCGCCGGGACGGCCGGCTGACTCCTCCCCTCTTGTATAAAAGTTGTTTAATTGAGGGACTAGAGAAAAGAAGAATAACATACTGTACTCACTGCTTAACTGTGTTTCTAGATCACGCTCATTTCAGGTAAATTTACATGCAGTGTGAAGATACCAGCATAATAAAGATCGCTAGCATTAGCATGCTAACACAACAATGCAGCGCGAGTTGTTTTGGTTTCATGCTGGTGCTCAAGGGCGACATCTGCTGGATCAAAAAGACACAGCTTAAAACCATTCCTCATTTCCCTTCATGAAAACCAGTCCAAAGTAATTCTCACAACAGAAAAGACAAGAAGAAGAAGAAGAAGAGGAACCGTCATGCTTGCTGTCGTTCCAAACCACACACTTTGAATCCTGGTGGTTGTAAGGAGAATTACAGGCAAAGTGTTATTTGCTGCAGAACAATCGCAAAATCGAAAAAGCTATGAAGAACTTTGAAGACAGATCTCTTCTGTCCTGTGCAAATCAACTCGTTATGTATCTGAAGAGACGAGTGGTTGTTACGCTGTCTTCATAGAACAAACACGCTTAAAGTCGGCCGTCTCATGTTTGCTCTGGAACAAAAAAGAGAAGTTTCTTTTTTTTGGTCTGTGCTTGAATGTTTGCGTCCTCCTTTGCTTTCTTTTCTTTCGTCATCATCATCACACCTGCCTGGCGTCTGGTTTTCGGTATCTGTGCTGCTGATGTAACATGAAGAGCATGAAAAACAATCGAGTGCTTTCACCTGCTTGGCTGCAAATAACGTACAAAAAGGACGTGCATGAGAAAAAACCTGCAAACATCGGAACATGCTTTAGTCACACACACACACACACACACTACAGTCAAACAACATTAAAAGGAGAGGTTTTAAAGGTTTATTTTTGGGGCTTTTATGCCTTTATTTTAGAGATAAGACAGCGGATAGAGTCGGAAATCATGGAGAAAGAGAGAGGAATGATGTACGGGAAATTAGCCACAGGTCAGATTCAAACCCAGTGTAGCTGTAGTTTAAACATCTTTAAAATGAAAGTACAACCTTTAACAAATTAAACCTCACTGTAGGAAGATAAATAACATAGACAAAGTGCTTTTTCATACTTTAACGCTAACTTATTATTTTTTTTATACTCAATTCTTCTCATGCAAATGTGTTCCCTCGTCAGCTCGCACGTTGTTCCTGCACCATCTGCAGAGTCATTGGCCGATCTTAACAATGCATGACAAAACTTTTTGCTTCCAGTATGTTCTCGTCTCATGAAATTTCATGAAACGAGCGCGCTGATCAAAATGCAAATGAGACTTGTGTTTCCCCAGCAGGAAAGGATTACACGGAGCAGACATGACTAGAAACACAGAGTTCTTTGTGATGGCATGATGCCTTACTTTGAAACTTAAGTCATTTTTTGTTGTTGCAACCTACGACTCAAAACTTTCCTACCGGGAGGGTACGTCTTCTCCTGAAATGACCCTCAAACTTTTAGAGCTGCTTAATAGGATGATATACGGTGTTTTGTTGTTGTTTCTTCTTCCTGCTTTTCACACATAATCCTTTCACGCTGGACATTATCGTAGCACTGACTTGTTGCAGTGGTCATTACTTTCTCTTTTTCTGAAATGAAGTGGCCCATATCACTGTCAATCTATCGTGCAACTTTGTGCATCTTTTGCATGCCTAACCGCCGTAGCTGGTAACTCTCCTGTCTGCTCCTAACCCTCGCTGTCTTTCTCACCTTTTCCTGTCTGTCAAAGTCCTTGCCATGTATGAAAATGTTTTAAAGTGCCCCACTCCTGGCTGCTCTGGACGGGGTCATGTCAATAGCAACAGGAACTCGCACCGCAGGTGAGTGAGCGTGCGTCAGCCGGGGGCCGCTAACAGCAGCATGAACCTGGAATCATTCACAGCACAAATACTGTTTCTGACATTCTTTTATTGATGGGAGGAGTTTAGATCAACTTTTTTAAGCTGCATTCTCCTGTAAAGGAATTTTCTGATCTACTGTCACGTCTTCAGGCGCAGAACAACACTTTTGCGTCCTCATATTTGCATGAATTACTCCCAGCTTTACACGTTGATGATGCAGAAGATGACATCGTCATCATAATCCCCATCGGACAAAATATGAGTTTTTCTATTGAGTGTCTTATAACAAGGGTCAAGTCCCAAGTCTAAATAAGACATTTTAAAGGGGACATATTCTGAAAAATCCACTTGTACAGTGTTTCTGAACATATATTTGGGTAACCTGAGAGTCTACTGACCCACAAAATGTGAAATAAATCCATCCAGTCCTTTGTTTGTGGTCTGCATAAATCTTACAACACAGAGAAAAATGCTCTGTTTCAAATGTGCTCTCCTTGTGATGTCACAGTGGGATTCTGGTAAAAAAAAAAAAAAATCCCCTCCCCTCCCCTGGTATCTCCACCTATGGACTCCATCCCCAGACTAGTGCAAAACTTTTATTCTCGCTACAGAGGAGTGATGTCTACGGGGAAAACTCAGGGGGTCATTACATTTAAAGAGACACACACACCAAACGGAGCGTTCTGAGAGAGCTGGTTTATACAGGGTCACAAACCTCCTCTGGTGCTTGATTCATGTTATATTTTGACTAAAGCACAGCACAGATGTTTCATTTAGACCACAGGGACTGTTTGAAAAGATGGAGAAGGGGGGATAATATGTCCTCTTTAAATTAAGTTGCGAGTCATTCAGACTGTTAGACAAAGCAACATTGGGACTTTTTCCTTTCAAAGCTTTCGAGAGTGCCAAAACATGACCCAAGCTGTAAGTCAAAGTTTGAGATGTCAAGTCCCAGTAGTCACCTTGTAATTTGCTTGTTGCACATCAACCGTCATATTTGAGGTCTTGGTCTCTAAGAGAGTCGTTGACCAACATTTTACAAAGGTGTATATGAGTCCTCGTAAGAAACGTTGCTGCACAGTCTTTTATCAAAATGTGTCTCTGATTCTGCTGATATCCTGCAAAAAACACTAGAACATCCCCAGGTTTAGACACATGGGAAAAAGAGGATTTAATTAAAATGTCGTCACATTTGAGCTGAAGGTGTGTCTGCATCACTTCAGCACTTCAGCTGTTTCACACACAGAGCTGAGCATCACATGTGGGGAAACACACACAAACACACGCACAAGCCTATTTTTGAATTATGTAACGTGATTAGGATTTGCACTCGTTTCCTCACACACGTCGAGCCTCAGACGTACACACTGCTTCATGCACACACAATCCTGCAGGAAAACACATTCACACTCACACACACACTCACAGCGAGACACTCACACTCACAATTAGCTCACAGACAGCAGCACACGTGCGCTGGCAGACAGAGAAGCACACACGCACACACACACACACACACACACACTCGCTCAGACGTGGCTGCAGGGTGTGTTATGTAGCACAGCTCCTTTGGGAGACTGGGGGGAAAAAAAGCACCAGCAAGCTAGCTTAGCTACTGTTAGCTACCAGCTCACACAGCTTTCATGTGTGGCAGTCACCATGGAAACGCCTTCGAAGCTGCAGCCACAGCAGCAGCAGCCTCCATCGCCGCCGTGCTGATCTGTCACACACTCCTCTCATGCCTTCTACATCAGTCTGTGTGTTTCTAATAATGTCGCTCCCGCTGCGTTTAAGGTGATTAGGAGTTTCCCTGATTTCACAGACACTGGGAAAGGCTGTCTCAGTTCATTTGCTTCAGTTTACCCCAAAATTCACACCAGAAACACCTGGTCAGGGACTTCTAAAGTCTTCATAAACCACCTACCGTCCAATCAAAACTAGCTTTATTAAGATCCTGACTGACGCCGATTCAAAGAGCGTGGCCAAAGTAAGGACTACATGTCTTCGCAGCAAAAATATCTTGAAATTATCAATCTGTTTGACAGACAAAAGACCAACATGTCCAACAGCCAAAAAACATGTTATTCAGTTTTAAATCGAGTCAAAACTTGTCTGGACAGTCACTCAAAACCATCAGTCAGGAAACCAGTAATGCAGTCTTCATAAAGTAGGCCATTTTGAATCCATAATTCATTCTGAACTTCTGTTACTGACAGCTGAACTGCTCTTTATTCAGAGCCAGATGCTATGTGTTTGGTGTGTGTGTGTGTGTGTGTGTGTGAAAAGTACAGTATGTAACCAGGTCGTGTGCTGTCTCCCCCTCCCTCCTCCTCCAGTCTGTCCGGCTGTCCCATCGCTGCTGCAGAGAAGATGGCGAAGGTCCACGAGAAGAGCCACACGACCGAGACCGGCATCAAGACCAATCAGACGTCAGATCGTGTCCTCAGGTACCGCCCTCTCTGATTGCAGAATCAGATCAGAGATTCAGTATTTTTTGTTTTAAGTTTTGCATTCTGGCATGTTTCACTAACTCTCATTCTTATATATGTATTAGAGATTTAGAATCTTTATTATCGCCTTCATAGCTTTGGGTGTTGTGTTAAAACATGGACGCTAAATGGTGAACTGAAATCCTCACAATGGTGAATACACGTCATGTGTGCCATAAAGAGCTGGGGAAGCTTTGTAATGAAGAAAAACTTGAGCTTTTCTCTTTAAGAAAAGTTACACAAGCAAAGATAGTTTCAACATCTTTTCATTTTCATTTGTCTCTAAATCAAGGATGCAAAATGGTGCAGTGACTCATTAGCACGTATACCCGGTATATTTGCCTATTCTAGGTAGTCAGAAAGTCCGCCATGCACGCCTAACAGCTGTAAAATATCTGTAAGGAAATTTGAATGTTGCAAGATAATCCAAAATGGTCACAGATCAGGGAATCTTAAGGGGGGTTCTTAATGGTGCAGTGATAGAGGAGCTTCTTTTTCCACCTATAAGTCTCCGCTCTGTGACACAATGTTATGGGAAATTAATTTTTTATTCCAAATGTGTGTATCCTTTGAATAAGGGATGTCAAATGGTGCACTGTCTTCAAAGTTAAGAGGCATTCTTAAACAGCCTTTGGCCATTATCTCCAGCCTTTTCGTATACACTGGGGATGCCAAATGGTGCACTAAAAGCACCAGAATCTTACCTTTTGGGGGATGTCCTGTAAGTTAAAAGGCTTTCTTTCAGCCATTATTTCCAGCCTGTTCGGACACATTGGGGATGCAAAATGGCTGATATGCAAAATGCAGATTCATGGAAAAAGGGATGCCAAGTAGCCAGCAAATAACCAGCATACAAGGCCCAAAGTAACGGCTCTTCCTGGTTGTTTACAGAGCTGGGAACACGATTAGATGTGGTCTTTGAAGTAGCAACTGATTAAAGAAATTAAACCTACTCGGGGGAAACACAAAAGTGCAGTTACCACCAAGAAGCCTCTCAGAAAGATCCCCCCAAGAAAGAGTGACTTTTCCTTGTTATGTCTCTAAAATCAAGGATTCCAAACAGTGTAGTGGATCTAACGCACATTTTACAAGCTGTACGAACACATAAAAGTATACTTCCTGTTGCCTTTTTTTAACTGGCTTGTGATGCATTTCAAATGATGCTGCAAATATTATGAAACACTTTTTTATTTTCAGCAAAGGGATGCTGAATGGTGCAGTCCAAAACTGACCTCTTGTTCCTTTTGTCTTCTTCCAGGCCGATGTGTTTCGTCAAGCAGCTGGAGATCCCTCAGTACGGCTACAAAAACAACGTTCCCACCAGCACGCCGAGGTCCAACCTGGCTAAGGAGCTGGAAAAATACTCAAAGACCAGCTACGACTACAGCGGCTACGACGGCCAGCATGGCGGCTACGGAAAGAGAGGCCCGACAACCAAGTCCCACCACGGACGAGACACGTCACCCAAGGGATATGATGGTAAAATTATGACCTTTGTTCTAGAAGGAGGTGTGATTTTCTTGTTTACAGACATTTATTGCTTCTATTATGGGGCTCACTGATGGAAATAATAATTATGTCACAGAGTATCAAGTACATTGGAATTTCAACAAGTAGGAAGTCAATCACTTGAAAAACATCCATCCATCCATCCGTCCATGCTCCTCACTTTTATCTCTAAGCTCAGACACCCCTCAGACGAAACTCATATCGGCCACTTGTATCTACGATCTCGTTTTTTTGGTCACTACCCAAAGCGTGTGAAAATAGGGGAGGGTTGGGATGGCGAGCGGTAAATCGAGAGCTTTGCCTTAGCTCCCTCTCCACCACGACGGTGCGGCACAACGCCTGCATTACTCCCAATCCTGAACCAGTCAGTCTTGCGATCCACCAGAATATGATTAGTTATGTCCTTCCTGTATGTTTTCTCATTGACCCACAATTCCTTTAACTGTTTCAAACTTTAAAAAACATTTAAATGACTTGCATTTAATCATTAGCACGTCTGGCAATTGTATTTTTTATTCCAAATTTGTGTATCGCTTGAATAAGGGATGCCAAATGGCGCACTGAAAGCACCAGAATCTGACCTTTTGGGGGATGTCCTGTAAGTTAAAAGGCTTTCTTAAACATCTTTCAGCCATTATTTCCAGCCTGTTTGGACACAGTGGGGTGCAAAATGGTTGATATGAAAAATGGAGATTCCTTCAACTGTGGCAAACTTTTAAAAACATTTAAATGACAAAAAACAGGTGATGAAAACAGACATCCTGCTACTCATTTGTCTTTTTAAGGATATAAACATGCAAGAAAAAGCCTCTATAGGGGACTTGTGTTCATTACCCTATTCTAGGCAGAACATTTTGTGCTTGACGATAAAAGCTCCACAACACACACACACACACACACACACACACACACACACATGCAAAAACACACACACTCACACATGCTCAGTATACTCAGTGTATTCTCTTTGTTAGAGAGCTGAAAAGCGCCGGTGTTTTCCGCCTCTCCACATGGCTAGAGTGAGAGCCGAGCAGAGTTATGGAAATGCCAAAGCTAAGAGCCTGCCTCCTCTGAGCGGAGGACGGAGGGGATGGAGAGAGGGAGGGAGGGGAGGAGGTGCAGATGGAGGGATTGTGAAAACCGGAGAGAGATAATGGAGGCGAGCCCTGCTTCTTTGGCTGGGAGCCATTAGTGAGACGCAGGCAAGAGGGAGGTTTTTTAGACGAGGTGTCTGCGCTCCCCTTCATCACGACTCCCTCCCTCCGTCAGCTTCACTGCCGAGTCTTGATTCAACCACCACAGCAGCAGCAGCAGCACCCAATCATTACCACTTTCTCCCCCCTCTCATTGTCCATGCTCTTCCCTCTCTTTTTTATTCTCTTATTTTTTGCTTCGACTCTTTTTGTCTCCTTTTGTTTTTTTTGTTTTTTTTCTCGTTCAAAATCTCATGAAAAGACCAGATCCTGCAGTGTTTTTAGTCGGAGTATAATCTCCTCTACTCTGTATGCCGTTCACCGTATTGATACAAGCGGCCAAGTTTCTGACGTAATGCTCAGTGCAGGGGCTCAAATGCTTCAAGCAAAACGATAACAGGCTTCTTCTTTGTTCCAAATGAAATCAATGAATGAAATGAAATGAAAGGATTTATTTTTACTTTCCTACTTTGGGATTCATCATCACCAAAACAACATATTTGATAGCGGCAGTGGCTCAGTTGGTAGAGTTGGTCGCTACATGTCCGATGTGTCCTCGGGTAAAACACTTAACCCCAAGTTGCTCCCACTGCTTGGTTGGTGGTGTATGAATGGTATTAGTTACTTCTGATGGACACACAGCAGCCTCTACCATCAGTGGTCAGAAGACGAGAAAAGTCCATTAGCTACCACTAACATGGGGGACGCCGGAAGCCTAGTGGTTGGTGCGTGCGCCCCAACGTATAGAGGCTGTGGTCCTTCAGGCGTCCAGGATCAAATCAGACCTGTGGCTCCTTCCCCACATGTTGTTCCCCACTCTCTCTCTCGATCCCTGATTTACAACTCTGTCCACTCTGCTGTCTCTACATAAAGATATGGAAAGCCCCAAAATCAGCTTCCACGAGCATTAACATTTCTAAAGCTAAAAGCTGTGCCTCTCCCAATGTGCCTTTGAATACAATCAATTCTTATATTAGCTAAGAAGTGGCTAATAGCTTCCAGGAAACCTTAGCATATAGCTACTCCCCTGGCTACATCACTGTAAACTACAAATCTAGGCCTCTCCTTTTTATCTCCTTTTAGAATATCAATGCTTATATAATCTATAAAACTGACTCAATTCTGATGTTACACTGGCTTTGACTCAAAGAGTAAAAATAGCTGAGGTAGTGCCTTTTACTGTTGCTGTGTTTTTGTGCAGCCATTACAAAGAGCTGCTAACCAAACGACAGGCTGAGAGCTGAGGCGGGTTTTAAGCCTCCTGACAAACCGTTACATCGCACCCACCTGTCAATCAGGTCAGCTACGCGCCTAGTTATGGATAACACGTATCGTTCAGAAAATCAAAACAGAGCCGTTTAAAAATATTCACCCCCTGCACAGTATTTAGTTTTTTGTATCAGACTTTTTTTGCCTGTGTGTGTATGTGACTTCCGGTGTTCCTGCAGCCAGCCTCTAGTGGACACTCGGCGAACTGCAGGATTTGCAGGACATTGGCTTCATTTTTCAACATCAGAGGTTACCGCTTGATATCTATAAGTGGCATTGTCACCGTCGTCTTTTGACATATATCCTCAAATATGTCATTTGAATACAAAATTAAGAAGTTCCTAAAGTAGCTGCCCCCCCCCGCAGGTTTTTAAAAACTGAGTAATTTCATAATTAGTGCTTAGAGTTTTTGGGGTATCAGGATGGTGTGTGTGTGTGTGTGTGTGTGTGTGTGTGTGTGTGTGTGTGTGTGTGATTAGGTCAGAATAAACGTGTCGTGTGTTCTTGGTGTATAAAGGAATATGTCACCCAGTGAGACGGCCAGATTCAATGATGTGTTGTTAATAGTTTTTAAAACAACAATGGCTCTCTGGGGCTCAGACTCAGATGATAACTCAGGCTTTGCAGACAGTATTTGTTCATTGGCTTGATTAATTGATGTTTTTTTGTGTTAATTCAGAAAGTCCCCACTCTTCCACTTTCTATCACTCCTCGTCAGACTGTCTGGTTTTTGCTTATTTTAAAAGCAACCAAACTTCTTTTTTTTTTTGATCCTCCGTAACAATCCATCTGCTGCTCAGTTTGGCCGAACGCCAGCATCAATCTAATAAATCAAACACGCTTATGTGTGTGTGTGTGTGTGTGTGTGTGTGTGTGTGTGTGTGTGTGTACCTCCCCACAGCCAAGCGCTACTGTAAGACGTCGAGCCCGGCCAGCAGCACGACCAGCAGCTACGCTCCCAGCAGCAGCAGCAGCCTGAGCTGTGGAGGAGGAGGCGGAGGAGGGGGAGGAGGCGGGGGTGGGGAGGAGGAGGAGGAGGAGGGGGGAGCAGCGCCAGCAGCACCTGCAGTAAGAGCAGCTTCGACTACACCCACGACATGGAGGCGGCGCACATGGCTGCCACGGCCATCCTGAACCTGTCGACGAGGTGCAGGGAGCTCCCACACGCTCTGGGAGGGAAACCCCAGGACCTGCTGACACAGGTAGACTGACGCACCAACACGGCAACACCTGCTTTTAGACACGTTGTACACTAAATGGTAGGAGGGAAGAAAGAGTGCACTATTTATCATGCCTTTCTATGGATTTGTAAAGGATATACTGTACATAACTTATAGTTCTAAGGTCATGTTCAGTCTCTTTTTGTGGTGTCGATCTTCCTCCTGGATGGATGATGGATAGAAATACAGTTAATAAAACACAACAAGTGAGCTATTATTTGGTGCTGAGGACTTGTATTTGGAGCTCTCTGCAAGGGCTTGGGTGTGTGAAGTTTCTTGTTCTAAATCCACTCTGATCCTGTATTTGATCATGTCTATAAACCCCTCTATTTCAGCCCTGCTCAGAACAGGCTGTTTCTGTGTCTGTAACTTTAAATATGTAAATGAGCTGTGTCTGACCACGCCCCCTCTCTGGAAGGGCTTGGGTGTACTCGGTCTTTCTTGCTCCATGTCCTATTGTTTACGGTGAGAAGGCAGACTCAGAGGGCAGAACAAACACCTAGCTGTGGGAGTGTCACCCACCTGGGGGAGGGGCTACTGCTCTTTGTGATGTCATGAAGGGAAAATCTCCAAACGGCCTGTTTGAGCACACATTTTCTGAAAAGTGGAGCAGGAGAAGACGGAGAGGATGGATTTTTCTTATCATTTGTAGACAGACTAGAGACACATGTTAGAGTTAGAGAAACATGTTCAGGAGTATATAATATGTGACCTTTAATATAAGTTATAATAAATTGTACCCATCTAGGCAACTCTTGAGATCTGGGAACATTATGAACATTCATGACAGACAGTCAGAAAACGTTCAAATCCAAAGAGAAAAGTTCAAAGTTAAAGGAGCCTCTCTGTTTGAAACATTGGTCACAGTTTGCTGAATAACTAACCCTAACCTCTGAATCCAATGTGTGAGATAATGTGAATAAACTACTTTTTTTCCATGTTTCCAGATCTCAGCAGTCAACTTGGTGAGTACAAAATTATTATTACAAAAACAACATCACTGACACATAAAGCTGTGATAGATTAACCCTTTGCTGTATGGCTTCCTTCATGCTGGAAGTCGAGCTGGAGTCAATCTAAAAGTTTGACCCTTTTTCAAAAGCAGGCAGCAGGCGAGACAGATAGTGATGTGATAGTTGATAGCAAAGACGTTTTAGTGACGGTACAGAGAAGAGTCAAGCGCCTGGAGGATGACATCTTATCAACCTGTGTTACAAATATCATACATGTAGTTTGTCTCACCGTTTTTGGACCTGGAGCTTGCTAAGCTGTTTTCATATCTGCTGCATCCCTACACCTGTTAATCTTTCCCTGACCGTCACTAACCATCAGAGTCCTGTGGGTGACATGGACGACAGCGGTGGGGTGGATGTTAACGGTCAGCCCGGGGGTCCGGAGGGCAGCGGGACGGTGTTGACCCCTCTGCAGCCGATGTCGCCCCAGCGTCAGGCTTGCTCAGCAGCCGCTGCTACCAGCTGAGCGACACAGACTGCTGGGACCTGCCCGTCGATTACACCAAGATCAAACGCCTGGGGGACGAGCAGGACCACAAAGAGGTACCTGGAAGGTCTACGTCTCTTTTTACAGTTTGCATTCAACACACAACAGACCTCACTCAGTTTAACTCTCACTCTCAAGCAAACTTAAAATAAAAAAGGATGACGTCGAGGCTGGTGAGGACTCATGGGAGTCATTCAGAGTTTACATGCATTAGTTTTGATCAGAAGTCATGCAGACTGTCAGAACATTTAAACCTAAAGTGCCTCAGCAGTTTGCAGATTTACACCAAGTGGTAACCTCTGGTGTTGAAAAATGAAGCCAATGCGTAAGTGCAGTTCCTCAAGTGTCCACTAGAGGCTGGCTCCAGGAACACTGGAAGTCACATACACACCACAAGTGAAAAAGAGGTTTTTACAGCATTAATAAACATGTTTACAGCCTGGTACAAAAAAACAAATATGTCTGATTAGTTCTTGTCTTCATGGGAACACACTGTACGAGGTTGATTTTTTTTTACAACGGCTATATTTTAATTTTGAAAACAGCTGACATGATTGACAGGTGGGTGCGATGTAACAGTTCATCAAGAGGTTTAAAACCCACCTCAGCTCCAGCTCTCAGCCTGTCGTTAGGTTGACTGAAAGTTAGGCTGAGACAGGATTTCCAGCATGGCGGCTGCTGCAGATGAGCTTCCAGCGCCCCCTGCAGGAACAGATGGCTGACAACACTCAAGCTTCAAACATTCATATTTACAGTCTGTGATTTACACTGACAAACAGGAGGCAATCTCTGGAGGTCATACCAGGTCAAAGTGTCCAAAAGTTCAGCAACATGCAGGCGGAGGCAGAGCGAAATCCTTTAATGCCACCTTCAACATCTCATTTAGGAATAAAAACATTTAATAAGTCACATGAAAAGGCAGAGCTTAATCACATCTGAATGTTTATCAAGCTCCACACTCTCATTAGGAGTTTAAAAACACCTCATTTGATATTTCCTCACTGTGTCCCCTAATTAACTCAACTCAGGATAATTGGAAGCATGAAATTGAGAGATTTAAGGAACCCTGAGTTCATATTTAAGTTTTTTTTTTAAAACTCAGATTAAGATGTGGTTAAGAGTTTAGAAGCCGTTCAGAGGGATGTTGTCCGCTCGTGCACCGCAGAGAAGAAGCAGCGTAGTGAAGTTGTGGACTTGTTTTTGCGAGGGCGTACGACTGGTTGCCTGCACGCATAAATTTTGCATCACTTTGCATACTTAAAAAGGCAGATTTGTGAATTTGGTACGCGCCGTGTGTGTGTGTGTGTGTGTGTGTGTGTGTGTGTGTGTGTGTGTGTGTGTGTGTGTGTGTGTGTGTTTGTACATATTTACCTTCTAAAACAGAAGGCATCAAAACAAATGTACAGAATAACGGAGCTCTGCCAAAGTTGTGACTCACGGCTCAGATCAGATATTCAGCCTCCAGCTGCTAAATAATAAAGATCAGTGCAAAGAGAAGAAATGAGACCGATTCTGCAGTGACATGCACTCTTTGTTTTTCATTCTGATTTCTGGAAAGGTGTAAAATACCTCTCTGCAGTGGACTTTACCTGCATTCACTTTAAACCTTTTTATTTGTTTTTATGGAGCACTTCCTCCTCTCTTTGGGGCTGGTGCACACATGATGTTAGAATAAAAACTCTCGTCATTTGTCCCTCATAATTGATTTTAACACATTTATTATAATTAATTCTTAGCTGGGGCTTCACGGAGCCCCGTCCCCTCACAGCGAGGAGGTGTGATGTTCAAAAGTATAACATTAAATACTGTGCTGAGTTGTACTGTCAGGTAGGATGGCGTGCTCTGGTGACCACGCAGAAAATCATTCAAATGAGACTCACTTCTCACTCATCGTCATCATTTGCATATTAATCTGAAACGTTTTCAGAAGCACAGCGTCTCTTCAGCGGGACGCACTGCATCGTGGAAATGTTAGAGGAAGGGAGTGGACTCATTGCATTGTGGGAGTTTTTTAGGAGCAACACACAGTGAAAACATTGAAGTTCTCTTCATGTAAACAAGACTTTTAAGACGAAGACGCGGTCTAAAGTGCGTCACAAAGACATGAAATGAAGTTGATAACATGAGGTCAAGACAAAAATTAAATATGATAGAAAATAATACAAAAACAGACAAGTAAGGCCCAAAGGGAGACTTTCAAAATACTTCTTTTAAAATCCCTTTACCAAAATGAATGGTGATAAATAGTTATAACAAACAAAAACAAACACAAAAAGAGGAATGTGCGTCATTTCCATTTGCAGTGCAGTAAATACAAAAGAGATTGATTACATCTGCACATCTGTTCTTTAATCTAAATCCTCCTAACTCACTCAGTGACGAAAGACGTCAAATGTTTCACTGACTTGTTGACAAACAACCAGACAAGAGGCAGAAAACGAGTGAAAAGTGAAGCAGTGTTTTTAGTTCTGATGTCTGCAGACATGACGGATGAACGCAGCGGAACAACTTCCCTTCAGAGGTTGAAACGCTGAAAAGAAAAAGTCGAGTTTGTTTAGCACGATTAAAAAACATCCTCAGCTGACCGAAGAGCTGTACAGACGAGGCGTAAAGACAACAACAGCAGCAAAGAAAGAAAGAAAGGGAACTATACAGTACTGTGCAAAAGTTTTAGGCAGGTGTGAAAAAATGCTGTAAACTAAGAATGCTTTCAAAAATATAAATAATGATTGTTTATTTTTATCAATTTACAAAATGCAAAGTGAGCGAACAAAAGAAAAATCTAAATCACGTCAATATTTGGTGTTACTACCCTTTGCCTTCAAACCAGCATCAATTCTTATAGGTACACTTACAAAAACTCAGGGATTTTGTAGGATAGTAGTCAGATGTATGATCAACCAATTATACCAAACAGGTGCTAATGCTCATCAATGTCACATGTAGGTTGAAACACAGTCATTAACTGAAACAGAAACAGTTGTGTAGGAGGCTTAAAACTGGGTGAGGAACAGCCAAACTCTGCTACCAAGGTGAGGTTGTGGAAGACAGTTTCATGTCAGGTCATACACTATGGCAAGACTGAGCACAGCAACAAGACACAAGGTAGTTATACCGCATCAGCAAGGTCTCTCCCACACAAATATTTCAAAGCAGACTGGTGTTTCAAGATGTGCTGTTCAAGCTCTTTTGAAAAAGCACAAAGAAACGGGCAACGTTGAGGATCGTAGACGCAGTGGTCGGCCAAGGAAACTTAGTGCAGCAGATGAAAAACACATCAAGCTTATTTCCCTTCGAAATCGGAAGATGTCCAGCAGTGCCATCAGCTCTGAACTGGCAGAAACCAGTGGGACCCAGGTACACCCATCTACTGTCCGGAGAAGTCTGGCCAGAAGTGGTCTTCATGGAAGAGTTGCAGCCAAAAAGCCATACGTCCGACATGGAAACAAGGCCAAGCGACTCAACTATGCACGAAAACAGAAAAATGGCAGCAGGTGCTCTGGACTGATGAGTCAATATTTGGCTGTAGCAGAAGGCAGTTTATTCGCTGAAGGGCTGGAGAGCGGTACAATAATGAGTGTCTGCAGGCAACAGTGAAGCATGGTGGAGGTTCCTTGCAAGTTTGGGGCTGCATTTCTGCAAATGGAGTTGGAGATTTGGTCAGGATTAATGGTATCCTCAATGCTGAGAAATACAGGCAGATACTTATCCATCATGCAATACCATCAGGGAGGCGTATAATTGGCCCCAAATTTATTCTGCAGCAGGACAACGACCCCAAACATACAGCCAAGGTCATAAAGAACTCTTCAGCGTAAAGAAGAACAAGAAGTCCTGGAAGTGATGGCATGGCCCCCACAGAGCCCTGATCTCAACATCATCGAGTGTGTCTGGGATTACATGAAGAGACAGAAGGATTTGAGGAAGCCTACATCCACAGACGATCTGTGGTTAGTTCTCCAAGATGTTTGGAACAACCTACCAGCCGAGTTCCTTCAAAACTGTGTGCAAGTGTACCTAGAAGAATTAATGCTGTCTTGAAGGCAAGACAAATAAGACCAAATATTGATTTAGATTTAGATTTCTCTTCTGTTCATTTACTGCATTTTGTTAATTGATGAAAATAAAACTATTAACACTTCCATTTTTGAAAGCATTCTTAGTTTACAGCATTTTTTCATACCTGCCTAAAACTTTTGCACAGTACTGTATATTTAGATTCAGATTTTTTTCAAAGGCCGGGGTAAAAAGCTTTGAATTGAATGAGTTAGCGCCGCTGATGATTCCACGGGCACGGTTGCCCCGAGGTTGCGCTGAGCTCGAGGGACGACATGGAGAGGCCGCTCAGAGGAGCTATATGTTTATCAAAAATCTCCCAGACATGTTGGACAGGCGGCTCTGAGTTCTGCAGAGACATTTCATCACTGAGAATCATTTCCATGTTGGAATCGATTTGTCAGTTTCACTGAAGTTTAAAACTTCCCTCTTGTTTTCTGTAAGTGACAGAGCACATGCAGTTCCTTTGCAGCAGACTCGGTGCGCCCCCGTGTGGTCAGAAGCAGCACCTGCATTCAGCTCTGTGGGTGAACGCTCCAGGAGAGCCGGAGCGTGCTGCATTAAGATGCTGAATTACTGCCCTGATACATAAGTAAAACATGATAGATCATCTGCACGCTTTAGAAGTCCTCACAGATCTGATATCACACAGAGCAGACCATGCAGCAAATTGCTACGTTTGCCTGGTTGGATTTAAGGCGCTGAAGTGAAAGGTTTTAATCAGGAGAGTAATTGCATTTGTTAATGAAGCACGACGTGGTGGAGGAGGAGGAGGAGGAGGAGGAGGAGAAGGAGGAGGAGGAGAGGAGGAGGAGGAGGAGGCCGGGGCCCTGAGCTCGCCTGGCTGATGGGATTTTCTGCAGACAGTCCTGTGAACGGTTTGTGCTCCCCACTGAGGATGTGTGATGTGAGGACTGCAGAGCGGACTGCAGCACACACACACACACACACACACACACACACACACACACACACACACACACACACACACACAGCTCCTGTCTGCTTTGTCTGACTGCTGCAGAAACCTTTTTTTAAGCAATGCTGATTTGTTTTAGCAACCCATTATCATGAGTCTAATCGATCTCATTCTCCAGAGGGGTCATGCTGGGAGCAGCAGGAAGAGTCTAGACTCACCTCCTGCTGGTTTTACAGATGCTACACGGGAGAGGAATATAGGAAACTTAACGTAAAACAGCTTTATCCTCGTGGTTTTTTTCAGGTTTAGAATAACGTCTACATCATACTAATAACCTTAGATCTTACAAACTAGCTCAAAGTCATGAAATATTGCGTTGAGTTCAACCTTTAGTTTGTCTCAGATCAAGAAGAACTATAAACTCTTAAAACAAAGAATGGAGACATTAGCAGAGTATCATGTGTGAGTGTGTGATCATGGAGCCCATAGTGACGTGCTGTAGTCTGCTTATTTCTCGTCCTTACACCAGAGCGACGAGCTGGACCCCTTCCAGGAGCTGCTGGACGAGCAGCGCTACCCGACCGAGGTCTCCATGCCGAGCCCCAAACACCACAAGTACTCGCCGTGCAAGGAGGGCAAGAAGGAGCTCATCACGTAAGAGACGCTCGAAAAAACCTTCAACGATGCAACACTGACACAGAATGCAGCGATCAAAACACAGAGCAGATTTGACTTTAAAGGAAGAATGTGCCACATTTTACACAGAAATATATCAGATATCAAGTATATCTATGAGTCCTGACTGTCTACAATGAGGAGAAGCTCGAGTCCTGCTGGCTGTGTTGTTGTCAGAGCCGTGTTTACATGGACGGGACGGCCGGCTCCTCCCCTTGTGTATAAAAGCTGTTTTAGTCAAGAACTAGAGAGAAGAAGAAGAACATACTCACTGATTATTTGGATGTTAGTAAGAGTTTTTAGATCACGCTCATTCTGTGTCAGTTTACATGAAATGTGAAGCTACGAGCTAACTAAAGAGCGCTAACATTAGCATGCTAACACAACAATGCAGGACACAGGGGATTGCAACTCAATCTAAGAACAAATTTTCTCTGCTGCTTGCGCTTAATGGTGCTTAATTATGGAGCGTTCTAATTGATAATAACTCCTTCATGTGAACGTGAGTGGAGGGGGATTGGAGGTGTGTCTCTGGAGGAGAGCGGAGGCTTCAGCATGGAGGAGGCGTGGTCAAACAGCAGTTTGTTTTGGTTTCATGCTGGTGCTCAAGGGCGACATCTACAAAAAGTCACATATTCTTCCTTTAATTTACAACAATTTTAAAAACAAATCCGTCAGTAAACGTAAGAGGATCAAATGAAGAGCCGTGCAGATTTAGAACAAAGGCGTGAAAACCAGAAGAATAAAAAATTACTCTTGTATGATGGGGTCTTAAAACACACAAAATGATCTTGAACAGTTTGACTGAATCGACTGATGCTCCCTTTGTGTCTGTTTCCCTCCTGCAGGTTGTCGAGCTGCCAGCTGGCCGACAAGAGCATCCGCGGGATGATGACGACCAACTCCCAAGAGCTCAAGTGAGTCTGCAGAGTCAGGATGGTTTTTGGCTGCAGGTAACACGACTAATAAAAAACAAAACAGGTCTGAGCAGATTGGAGAGGAGAACAAGTTCAAATGAGGGTCAAGTCCAAGATTAAAAACTACAAAACAGTGCTCTCAAAGCAGTCTTATACTAACACGTCTGTCCCTCAGGTGTCCGACCCCGGGCTGCGACGGATCTGGACACATCACAGGGAACTATGCCTCCCACAGGAGGTACAGTGACCACGCTCCTAAACCGACAACCATCTGCAGCCACACGAGACCCAAATCAAACTATGCAACACTTCATTTCATGTGTCTCTTAAAGTTTCTCTTCTGTCCTGCAGTCTGTCTGGTTGCCCTCGAGCCAAAAAGAGCGGCATCAAAATCCTGCACAGCAAAGAGGACAAAGACGACCAGGAGCCAATCAAGTAAGATTGAACTTTCATGTAACGCCTTTAAAGGTCACATGTTCTCCTCCTCTTCAGTGTAAATAAGTCTCAGAGCTCCTCAAAACATGTGTGTGAAGTTTCTTGTTCTAAATCCACTCTGATCCTGTATTTGATCATGTCTATAAACCCCTCTATTTCAGCCCTGCTCAGAACAGGCTGTTTCTGTGTTTGTACCTTTAAATATGTAAATGAGCTGTGTCTGATCACGCCCCCTCTCTGGAAGGGGCTTGGGTGTACTCGGTGCTTTCTCGCTCCATGTCCTATTGTTTACGGTGAGAAGGCAGACTCAGAGGGCAGAACAAACACCTAGCTGTGGGAGTGTCACCCACCTGGGGGAGGGGCTACTGCCCTTTGTGATGTCATGAAGGGAAAATCTCCAAACGGCCTGTTTGAGCACACATTTTCTGAAAAGTGGAGCAGGCAGAAGACGGAGAGGATGGACTTTTCTCATCATTGGGGGGTTTGTAGACAGACTAGGGACATATAATAGTGTTAGGGGAACATGGGGAAGTGTAATTTGCACAATATGCGATCTTTAATTTAATCTGAGTATTTCTTCAGCGCTGGTTGTCAATTAATTTTCTACCTGTTGATGAAAATGTTGTGTCAGCAAAAATATTCAGTCACTGTTTTTAAAATGCAAATGTAGAAAAATGAGTTTCTATAACTTTTCTTAGACTGGATCCATATTAAGTGTAACCTAAATATAGAGCTCTAGGCAGGTCTGCTGAGGTAACGGCCCTGTGTCGATTCTCTTGACATATTCATACCCCCTCTCTGACTCTTGAACGCCGCCTGTCTAAGCTGACCTTTGTAACTTTAGGAAAGAATATTTTAAGAGAGGAGCCGTGGTCAGACCTCCACTTCAACCCACGCTCCCTGCAGGCCCGAGAGCAGCAAAGGTTAGCAGGAGTGAGCGGCTGACATTTTGTTAAAGCAGAGCCGTAATGTTAAGCCAATACGACCTTGTGAATAATCTAAAGTTCAGCCGGTGTCAGTCTGCGGCCAGCTGTTGTTGCCACCGCTGCTCCATCCGCCATCATCATTAACAGAAAAAATGATAATTAATCTTAACCTGAGCTCGGCTGGGGAACGAGCCTGACGACACTCGGCTCATTTTAATCAGCTCAAATGTCACAGGGAAGGTCGTTAAGGGACACTGGGGGGGGGGGAGTTTAAGAGGTGTTATCTGCTGAGTTAGCAGTGTTCATCCTGCTCAGGGTTACAACACTGTGGCCTCGAGACACAGACCACAGAGGGGAGGACGGGGGAAGAAGCTGAGGTGTGTCTATGTGTCCTCCCTCCATCTATCAAAAGGGAATCTTGAGCAGAGGCGTGATGGATAAAATATAAAAATGTGCACCAGGGACCAACATGGTGGCTGAGTTGTAAAGGCCCTGACACACCAAGGACCTTTGTTTTGGCCGATTCAACATGTTGAATCGGCGTCGGTGAGAGGAATCTCTCTGATTAGCTGTTGGGAGGTTTCATTTCTCTCCAGCTCTCAGGTTCAGTAAAGCCTCTTGAACATGTTGCTGTAGTATCCATGCTTTCACCCATTAGTGCGGTTTCTCCTTATTTGTCTTCTTCTTTTCTTTTTCTACTAAAAGACCAAGAGCTGACAACGCCAGCGCCATCTTCAACTTTTTATCAGACATTATTCTCCATTAGTAGACGACCTATAATACGAGTCGTGACGGTGTGAGAATGGTCTTTTCGTATCATAACAAACGGACTACTGCCCCCTGCTGGCATGGAGAGTTATTTCCTCTCATATTGTGTTCAAGGGCAACTTTTTAGCCAATACGTGAGGCGACGCCACAGGCATCCTTCGTCAACACTAGTTCTTTGCAGTCTGCTTGGTCTGTCTGCTTAGAGGTTACAAAAGACCTAAATCTGCAATTTTCCTCTTTAAAATTAATAACAGTATGAACGTCAAACATCTCTTAAGGGTTGTGGTTTGTCAAGTTTAGTATCTGAAAGCAACATGCATGACTTTCTTTGTGATAACATTTAGATTTTTCTTTGTCAAGTTGAATAAACATGGTCATTCATGTCAGAACTGCCGGGTTATGGAGTGTGTCGATGCTCCCTCTTTAACTACTACAGTGTGGGTTGAGATTGCTGGTACATGAAAAAGCAGACAGAGTGATACCTCTTTGTCTGCTGTTCCTCTCAGGTGTCCGGTGCCTGGCTGTGACGGACAGGGTCATGTGACGGGGAAGTACGCCTCCCACCGCAGTGCGTCGGGCTGCCCCCTGGCAGCGAAGAGGCAGAAGGACAGCTACGTCAACGGTTCGCAGTTTGTCTGGAAATCTGGAAAGACTGACGGGATGACCTGCCCGACCCCAGGCTGCGACGGCTCGGGACACGTCAGCGGGAGCTTCCTGACCCATCGGAGGTGGGCGTGGCTCTGTGTCACTCTGTTTCAACTCTATCAAAGTTTAATTTTTGCACGTTGAATTAAGTGTTTTGATTGTGATTTAAAGTAGGGCTGTCAGCGTTTACGCATTAAAAGCTATGTGATTAAGGTCAGAAATGAATGCATTTTGTCCCTTTAGACACACCGTAGATAAAGGTCACACTCAGTAAGGTGGGTGAAATGATAAAGTGACCTTACTATATGATCAGACATTAAGGAAGCCAGTATGTCCTCCTTCTAACTTTACATTCTGGTCTGAATGCTCTGGATTTGTTTGGACCAGAGAAGGTAGTCTAAAGTCTTTTAAGACACACCCCACACACAGCCGTTTTGGACGCCCCTCGGTTTGCCAGATATGAGAGCAGTTATCAGGTCAACAGGTGTTGCAGCGATGGAAGCAGTCAAGAGAAGTGGTTCAGATAGAAGTGATTGTACCCGACCTAAAAAGCCTCTGCATGTTTCTAATAAGCTCCACGAGCAGAAACGTGCTCAAACTAGGATCAATATTGGAGATGCTTTTGAAAAATGGAGAGAGGTTAGAACACAGAAAGGTTTACAGACCCATGCAGAGCTGGATAAACACTGAAGCTTCAGAGTCCACCACATGGTGACCTGAGTGAGCATCGACTCTAAAGAGGAGGAGGGGGAGGGGGGGAGACAGCTCTCTACGATGTTTAGAATTTGGACTGCAGTACACATTTTCAACACTAGGTGTCAGAGTTACTGCTCCTTTTTGACTGTACAAAAGAAAGCATTAAAACTGTTTTGAATAATGACATCTCAAACATCAGATTATAATGTGATCAATCACGATTACCAAAGTAATTCTGTAATAATTGTGTTTAAAAAACAAAAGTCTTTGACAGCCCTAATTTAAAGATTTCCACAGCTTGTGTTTCAATTCTTTGCTAAAATATAATCATCTTGTAATGTGCTCAAAATTTCCAGCAGCGTTTATATCGTGTGTGTGTTTGATTTCAGTCTCTCTGGGTGTCCTCGTGCCACCTCAGCTATGAAGAAGGCGAGGATGAGCAGCATGGACATGTTGACAATCAAGCAAAGAGCAAGCAAAGGTCAGAGCTGAAACCTCAAACCTTCAAAAAAACAGAAAATCACTTCTCTGAACCATAACCGAAAAATGATTTTTTTTTGTTTCAGGCATCGAAAATGATGAAGAAATCAAACAGCTGGATGAAGAAATCAAAGATTTGAACGAGTCCAACACTGAAGTGGAGTCAGACATGATCAAACTGAGGACACAAGTAAGACATTTGTGTTTACTGTTACAGATAAAAAATACTTTTTAGATGAGTGGGGGACGTCTCTGATTGGTAGACAATGAGTGAGGATTTAAATGTTTTGGCTTTAACATTTTTAAACACTGCTCCTGATCAGCCACTAGAAAAATGTGATTGCAGTAACCAGGTTCAACCTGTAGAGGGCAGTCACTAAACATATTTCTAACAATATGTGGAATTTAAAGAATACTTAATGCTTGTGTGCAGATGTTAACAGCTGGAAATAAAAGAGGGCTGGGGGTCTACTTACTCCTTATGAGTATGATGATGTCTTGGTCAATGTCTTGGTCTGGTAGATCACAACCATGGAGACCAACCTGAAGTCCATCGAGGAAGAGAACAAGGTGATCGAACAGCAGAACGACTCGCTGCTGCATGAGCTGGCCAACCTCAGCCAGTCGCTCATCAACAGCTTAGCAAACATCCAGCTTCCACACATGGTAAGAAAAGAGTCCACTGACCTTCATGAAAGGGACTTTTACACTTTTAAAGAGAACCTTCAAAATGTAGAAACACTTAGAAGAAAACCTTTTCAACCCTGAACCCATCCAATAGCAGCAACAGAAATGTCCTTAAGGCTTTAATTTTTTTGAAATCTTTCTTTCTTTGGTTGAAGTTCGACAATCTGAGCTCTGCATCACTGATCCTGAAGAAGTTACTTCATAGACGTGTCATATTTCTTAGAATTTGTCTTTAAATTTTAGTTTGATGTGCATGAAAATGTATTCAGCCACAGATGTACAAGAATGTTTTTTTTAGAAACGTATGTGGATGAGTGATGAATTTTTAAACGTTTTGCAGGATTTTGTTGAACTTTTTCCAGGTGTAGAGCTGCTGATTCAGGACACAACTCCTTTACGTAGTTTTCATTTTTCTTATTGATATTTTCTTGAATAAAGGGAAATATTAAACACACTGAGTTAAAGCAGACCTAACGTTCCCCACAGAGGGCAGGACAAGTTAACTTTTGTAACCTAGCAACAATGAGCACCGGTGACAAGCGCTCTGACACTGAGGTCGGGGTGCTTCAAGCTCAAGAGCGCAGTCAATGGACACAGGCTTTATTTCTGTCAATATAATTTTAGCTGTTTGAATTTGGGGTCAGATGTCTGATTCTTATTTAAATCTGTTTTTTCTTTGATTTGAATCGTTCAAAAGTCTTTGTGGGTCAGTTAGACCTTATACAATCTGATGCCAGCTAACATTTGCCCACGATTTCACTCCAGGGAGGTGTTACAGTCGTCTCCAAACTTTTCTGTAGGGACACTCAGGTTTCTTCTTCATCTGCTTCTTTCTGTTTGCCACCTTCTCTTTTTTTTCCCGCCAGCGTTCTTCTTCTTCTGTGCCTTACAACGCATCACCAAGTTTCAAAGAAGGAAAACAGCCCTGTCTTTTTTTTTTTTTTTTTGGTTTTAGTTTGAGTGAAGTGCTCATGGCTGTTTTGGTACCATGTCGTCTCAGTGTAGAAAGAAGACTGGGGCTAATTGGATAATCTCTCTCAGTAAAAACACAAGACGCTTGATAACTGGACTCTCGGCTTCCAATCCCACTAGTTGCATGTGGGATTAACGAGAGAAATGTCCGTCTTATCAGGGAATTTGACTTCAATCTCACCTGAAACAAGCTCAACATTTTGTCTGACACACTGAAAACTGTGGGTAGAAGTGTTGTTTATAGAAAACTACCAAATATCATTGTAGGCTCTGTTCACACTGAAGTAACAGTTTTGTGTATGGTATAGGATATTAGCTTTATAGCACTGTGTGAACAAAACATTTGCATAATATTGCGATTAAATACAACAATGGCTTCAAGTCGTTTGCTTCCAAATTCGCGCCAACTCGAAGAAATTAGTTTGCATTTCGTATCCCTGTTTTCCAACTTGGAAGCTACAGAGTCAGAGGGAAATTTCTTGCTAAGACGGACGTTGTTCCCTTTTCTCCTCGGTGTACTTTTCGAAGCCTCGGGTACCACAACAGGGCTAATAGACTTCTCTGTACACCCTCTCCTGTAGAGACCGCCGCCACAGAAAGAGGCCCCAGTAAAGCATAACTGCTGTTTGCAGATGCCTCCCAGAGTAAGAGATCCATTTATCCTTTATCCAATTATCCTTCTCTTCTGCACTGTCATCCTCCCCTTCCCTATATCTCCCCTTTAGCCCACTGTAGCGTCCGCACATCACGACTGTCCTGGAGTACTTCAGATTTCAAGAATTTAACTCAGACATCCAAGAAAAAACCTTAAAAATGAAATAATTCTTAAGGAAATAATTGAGCTCAGCCATTTAAGATTACAAAAGTAGCTGGATGAAATAATATAAATCTTTGAAAGTCCTCCCAAATGGCCAAAAAATGTAAGAAGCTGAGTTACAGGAGTTGACCTCGATTTTCTATTCCTACTATTAGCGTAATAGTGGAGGAAACGTGAAACTCTTTAGAGAGGCAGGCAGTACAAACATAAAATGATGGCACAGGACCAAAACATAGACTCAACTACAGGAAAGGTGAAAGATTTGTTTGGTTTTTAAGATAAAATGAGTCCATCTGTGGTTCTATTTATAAGAAAACTGGCCTGAAAAGGGCAAAGAAGCTAAAAATAAGTGGGCCCAAAATGAGCCTTGGGGTACGCCACATGCAAAACTTTTTGTGCTGGTTCAGAAAACCAAATAAACCAAACCTTGCAGTAAAAACTGAATTACCATAGATGCCAGAATACGAGTCATAGTCTGTTTTGAAGGTCTGCCAGAGGGGGAAAAAAAGGTTTTAGCGCTCTTCCTGCATGACGATTTCCATCGCGTTCAGTAAAGTCTGCAGCGTTCAGTAAAGTCTGCAGCGTACAGTAAAGTCTGCAGCGTACAGTAAAGTCTGCAGCGTTCAGTAAAGTCTGCAGCGTACAGTAAAGTCTGCAGCGTACAGTAAAGTCTGCAGCATACAGTAAAGTCTGCAGCGTACAGTTTCTGTGCGGCTCTATCGATTACCCTCTAGTTTCTACTTGAGGAGTTTGTGATCCTGCTAGCCACAGTACGATAGATCAAACCTTTGAGGATTCTCCTTTCATGATTTTCACACAGAAGGGATGGATACTCTTCTGAAACAACCTTTCAGAATAATATTTTTAACCATAGCCTACTTTAAACCAATTTACTAATTTAATATAGTAAATTAACGTCTTTATTGTTGTATATTTACGACTTTAATCTTGAAGTTTTAGATTCCCCCTCCCCTTTAATGTGGCCCTAATACTGCGTCGTACATTGGCCCACTTTTTAGATGAATAAAAGACCTTTTCAAAGTGTGTCTGATACACTTAATTTATAGGCTAACATATCTGCTTCTGTAAAACTTTTTAAACCAACAAGGCTTAGAAATATTTAAAAAAATAAATAAATAAATAAATGGAACTACTTTCAGGTCCCTTTAGTCTTTAAAGTCCAACTTTTGTGTCCATATGCTGCACATTAACATTTCATCCATCCACAAGCTAACCATCCCTTTCCTGATTTTTGCATGTTTGAACGTTGCATTGTGTATAGACCGTCACAGGCTGAAGTAAAGATGTTAATCATGAATTTGAATGTACTAGAAAAGGTGTTCTCCTCTGAGCCTGATGGTGTTCCTTTCCTCCCTTGCTTCCCGCCTGTTTTCCAAACCTTTCCCCCCCCGCAATGTTTTACAGACAATATGATCGTTATTTGCTCTTTTTTAAAACCTTTGACTGTATGTGTCTTCATGGGTTTGTTTTTCCCCCTCACAGGAGCCAATGAACGAACAGAACTTTGACTCGTATGTGAGTACGCTGACGGACATGTACACTCACCAGGACCAGTTCCAGAGCCCGGAGAACAAGGCGCTGCTGGAGAACATCAAACAGGCCGTTCAGGGTATCCAGGTGTAGCCGTGACTCGAGGCCAAAATAAACAAATGCAAAGCAAAAACAACAAATCAAAGTCAAAAAGAGGGGGAAATGGTTGTTATTTGCTGCTGTAATCTAACACTTTTTTTGTTTTGTCTGCTGTTATTCGCTCTCGACTCCATGGGTATCTTTTTTAATTTTATTGTTGTTGCCTTGCTTTGAAAAAAAAATTAAATGAACATTCACGTTTTGTACATTTTCATATGATCTTACATAATGTGATGTACTGTTTATAGCTGCTAATGTATGCACATTCTCGTGTATATGTATGTATTTATTTATTTATTGTAAGCTTGAATCGTTTTTTTGATTATTGTAACATAAAACTGGGCGTCACGGGTTTAACGGGGAGTAGAGCGGCGGCGGCGGGCGAAGGTAACGTGAAGAGCAATCATTTTTCTCACGAGCTGTAACGCTGGATGTGAAGTCATTCATTCTTTTTGTAACGTTTAAAAAAGTGGACCGCGTCGCCACTCTTTTTCTGTAAATCTTTAAAAAAAAAAAAAAATCTCAAATGACGAGAATGAACCAATGCTATAATACGCAAGAAGATTTCAAACATCATGACACGGAAACTTAACTGGTGCAAATTCCATCGTCCCCTTTTTTTTCTTTTTTCGTGTCGCTTTACTTTGTTTCGTATGAAAAAAACAAAGCAGAAAGACCAATGGCTACTGAAAACGTAGGAGACAATCTGCCATTTCTAAGTTCTTTTAATGGTTAATCTCGACTAGCTAATAGGAAAAGTGTCAGCAATATTGGTATTATGATATAAAATTGTTTGTTTAGATATGGGATGCAATCTATATGAAACATATTTGGGTATATGCAATTTCTTATGAATAAAACTAGCAAAGAACCGATAGCTCTTTTTACTAACTATAAATGTATTGCGTTTTGTATAAACCTTTTACTACAATCATGTGTTAGGAATCTGACGCGGGTGAAAGGACTTTGGTTCTGTCATGTTCGTCTTTGCACAGGGACACCTTTGTTTCCATGTTTTGATGTTTTTATTGTCGATTAAGAGGCACTTGACAGGCGGAAAGGATTTGTAGATATGATTTTTTTTTCTTTCTTAAAAGGCTGATGGCTCCTCTGGACTTACAGGGTCAAACGTCCCCCATACATCATTGTATATTGCACTCGTCCTGTTTGAGAATAAAAAAAAGAAAAAACGTCTTTCCAATCATGCATCAAATTGTCTGAGCCACAATGGGACATGATGCCAGACGACATGATGACCAAGCAGCACTTTTCTTTTTTTAATTATCTTTGATTGTTATTGAAAAAGATGAATGAAAAACCTGAGCCAGCAGTCAAGAAAAAAGAAAAAACGCGTTGTCTGTGCACTGAATTTTAAACCGACTTGAGTATTTTGATCTGAATCGGCCTTATGATGACATTCAGTTTGAAAAATCACAGCACTGGTGGTGGGGTTTTTTTTTTCTGAACACCGTCGATCATGCATGCACTTTATTGGAGTTTGTCAAAAGTATTACACGTGGTGAATGAAGCAAAAACTGTACAGCGAGTTTGTGGAAACTGTGACTTTGACAAGACTTTGTGCTGGTGATTCCTGTTTGAAAGCAACTCGGAGCAAATGTCAAAGAGGTAATTCTTTTATTTGAAGGAAAACTCCCCCTCTGGACCCCCTAACTTTGTTCACCTCTTCATTACAATCATCACCTCCTCAAGTCATTGCAAACAGAATGAAAAACAACCCTAGGATAGCTTTCTGTCTTTCAATGCTATGTTGTGAACAATCAGAACATTTGGATGTGTCCTTTAAGTGTGAACTCAAATTCCACTGCCTGCCTGCCCTAAATCCACTCCCCTTGTTCCAGATATCTGTATGCTGGGGTAACACGTCTCTAAGCTACCAACAAGCCATGTGGGGATTGCCCTCTAAGGATGTGTCCAAAACCAATCTAATCTGCTGCCTAGTACTCCAACAATACTACATACTACACACTAGTGTTGTAGTACCAAGACCGGTCTCGAGACTACTTTTTGAAGGTCTCGTCTCAGAATCAAAAGTATTTTTACTTGTTCTTGTCTCCGAATCAGACTGGGCGGACTCCTACGGTGGCTGGGAAGTGCAAAGCAAAAATTACAAAGTGTGAAACACTTTTACATAATTTGAGACAAATTTACATTTTGAAAAACATTTTTACATTTTATAAAAAACAAAATTACAAAACCAAAACACGTTTACCAAGGACAGAACACATTTATAAGATGTGAAACACTTTTAGCAGTCCCCTAAACAAATTTACAAATGACAGATTCTTGACGGAAAGGGAATGTACCAAATGCAGGAAGTGACCCAGAAGTGATTGAGTGAGGGGTCAATTTGTTTGTTTTGGCAGAAAGACTTTGCAGATAATTAAATTTGAATTAATTTCTAATTTTTACGTTATTAATATATGTATACACATAAGTTAATATTCATTTCTAGAGGTCTCTGTTCTGGATGGAGTTATGTGCAGACCTCCGAGATGTTGGATAAGTTTGAGAGAGCGTCCACATGAAAAGCAAAAGCTGAGTAATCTGACTCAAATGAGTTTTACAAAACAGGCAAAACATCTTTTCTGTCACCACAAACTCTGTATCCAATTTATTTATTTATTTTGGCCGGTGGATACTTTTCATCTACCGTCCACCTTGGCTAGTGTGTCAGTAAGTTAATGTTGGATTCCTGGTTGGAAGGTTCAAAGGTTAAAGAATATGGCGCAACAACAGATACAGCAGGAAAGTTAACATTAGGTACGATTGGTAAACAAAATCACGTCATGCCAAATCTATGTTTAGCCTACTATGCTAGCCAGATAAATAGGATATAAGCTAACTAGCCTAGCTCCCAATGGAAAGTCAAATGTTTGGACGTACAGGAATTGAAACCGAAGACTTTTTTCAGACTAATTCAGATGTTCAAAAAAGTTAATTTTACAGAATTTATTTGATCTGAATTAAGGGATCAAACATTTCTGAGTTTCTGAGAACATTTTTAAAACCAAGTGTTCAGACAGAGGTGGATGGGTTATCCAGACTCGGAGAACAAACCCTTCTGGAAATGATCTAGAGTTAAACCAAGTTTAATGGAATTATAAACATTTGATTGGTCACTTTTTGAGACTCACCACCAAAGCACGATTTTACCTGTCTTTTGTTTTATTTTGTCTCTTTTCTTTTGTGATGACTGGAACTTTTCTCAGCTAAGTCAAGTTTCCACATAGAAAAAGCAATGGCCTCACTGCCAAATGGGGGGAGTTTTCCTTGAAAGATGTTTCTTTTTTGGACTTTCACTGCGAAGCCTCATCCCCTGACTTTACATCTCTGTCCACAGCTTTGTGTCTGCAGCTTCCTGACAGCTTGATACCGCTTTAGATAGACTGACAGCTTGTATTTTGTTTTCTTAACCAAGTCAGTTATTCTTACTGATAACAAAGGAAATGGGAGTAAAAGCACAATTCTGCCACTTAAAGAAAGTCAATAGACTAGATATTGTAATATGAGATGTAAAAGCTAAACTGTAACTATTTACATAGAGAATCTCAACACTAACATGTGACATGCTAGAATGCAAAATAAATCCATATAAATATTTGTGAAATCATCCGTTTATGAAAATGTTAGTTACTTTTCAGCGGTGCATTGAGAAGGGGTTTTTATACAACATTCATTTTTTTCTCTCCTTTTACCCCTTTTTCTCTGTTTCTCGCAGACTTTCAGCAACAGTTTTCTTACCACATGGCATGGGTTTTTGTTGGTATTTTTGCTGTATGTTTCAGGTCACGGGTTGCTACGTGATACTTTTAATTTGACTTGTGAAGTTTGTACAATTTTTATCATGCTGGTGTTGGCATCTCTTGCTCTGAATAAATCTTGTGTTGCAACACTGCTTAAGAGCTGTTCTTGTGTCAAATTCAAAGTGGCATCCAAATATTCATTATCTGATACAGATGATCGCTTACGGGGGTCACAGGGGGCTGGAGCCAATCCCAGCTGTGTGTGGGCGAGAGATGGGGTACAACCGGTACTGTAGTGGGGCCCCCAAATGTGTTTTTAAGCGACCTGTCCAGCAGACTATAAACGGCCTCTGTTATAAACTGTGACATGTAAGACTACTCTTGCATAGCCTGTATGTACTAACCAATCAGAGGCAGATTAGAGAGGGTCATCTCTGAAAGTTAGTGGACAGTTTTGCAGTGTTGTTTTTTGTTTGTTATATAAATTAAAATATGGATGATTAAACTGAGATTAAATGTGTTTAACTTTTCATTGTGCTCTCGGTGCTCAGCGTCATTTTCAGAGAACAAAAGACTAAACAATGACGACGGTAGAGGGCGCCAAAATGACGCCAAAGGAGCTTTCGGTTTCACTCTTCGCTCCCTTTGTTTTTATTTCCGGTTTAAGACACGCCCCTTTCCGCTCTGAGACTCCACGTGATATCCACGGACTGTAAACAAACCAACAAACCGGGCATGTGTGTTTCGGCGGTTGTTTCTGATTCATAATAACGTGTGTAATCAGGGCTCGGCTCTTCCCTCAGCCCTGTTTGGAGGTCAGCATGGTTTGGTGTGTTGTTTCCGGTTGTGAGAACCGTTCTGGGAAAGGTAGGGGAAACCCGGGGATCCTCAACAGACCGCAGAAGAAGTTCTTCAGCTTCCCCAGTGACCCGAAGCGAGTCAAGGTACGGACGAGTTGAACTGAAACAAAGGCTTTTCTTTTTTTCATAAAGTGTCCGAATTGTTCTGTAAACTCTGTAGAAGATGCATTTTCATGAGCCTGCAAACAGTGTTTCACTGAAGAGTGGGAGGTTTGATGCAAAATACTGCAGTGTAGAAAATGTTTTTTGAATTGTCCTGCAAAATGCATTCAATTTATAGCTGCATGAATGTAAAAAAACAAAATGAGAAACTTTGAAAAACAATGCAAATTGAATTTTCTGCAATATAAAAAATGCAACGTTAGGATCTTCTCAGAATTAGCACCCCTGTTTTATACTTTAAATGAGATGTGCTGCAGGCTGTAGAAAACAGATGGCTTCAGGTCAGGGTTATGTTTTAAAGTCTTCAGCGTGTCAGTCAGAAAATGTAAACACTGTGCTAACTGTGGACAGGTATGGCTTGCGGCACTGAGAGAGATGGACAAGCTGGACTCCCCAGACCAGCATTTTATCTGCGAAGACCACTTCCTGCCGCAGGACGTCTCCGCTGCTGGGGTCAACAGTGACGCCATTCCCATCATGCCCCCCTGCCTGGACGGACCGATGGACATGATCAGCTCCTGGGCTGCAGAGTCGTCTGAGGAAGAGGAGGAGGAGGATGAGTGGCAGACTGAAGGCTATGATAATGTTTATGAAGGCGGGATTTCTTTTCCTTTGCCAAGACTTCCTGCAGTGGATCCACCACCTGCCATCAATCCCCCCACTCAGGTTTGATTTTTCCATCTTTGTGTAGTTAAGCCTATTTGTTGAGCCCTAACCTGGATGACTGAGGACCTACACAGACATCTTGGAGAACAATGCTCCCTCCCACCAGGTGAAAGTGATTACACCTTTTCAAATGTAAATGAGATAAGGGGTGGGTGCTTTATTTGCAACACAAATGACCGCTGGAGACTCATTATTGATGCAACGAGAGAACGCTCCCTCTCAAGTGCTGTCCACTGAAACCACATGTTGAAAACCAGGGTCAGAGAGTTCCCTTCAGAAACTACAAACTACTATATTTGAGATTTATACTGTCAGTTAAAAGAAAACTAAGAGGTGTTGCATTACAAAGTAGAACAAAGACATACGATATATCATGAAAAAAGTTTGATTTCTTCACACTTCTCAGTTTCTGCTTTTCCTCTCTTGATTAAATGATTCTTTAATGGACCAATCAGTGAGCTGTGTAGAGAGTGAGATGATAAAGGTATCTTACTCTCTGATCATTAAGGAAACATGCTATGTTGAAGTGCTGGCTTCTCTGACAACAATGCAGCAGCCAGTATGTCCTCCTTCTAACTTTAGATTCTGCTCCTGAATGCTCTGGATTTGTTTGGACCAGAGAAGGTAGGCAGTTTTAAGAGTTACATACTGCTCCTTTAAGCAGAAAATTAAAAATTAGACTGAAACGAAAACTATTTTTGGACCCTATCACATATTGTGTTGTTATTGCCTTAAAGCTAACAAATCAAGGGTACTGCCTGTCCAACTGTTTCCAACTCGTTGCTGGGACGCGGTTACCAGCTCAGATATCTGACTTCAGACGTAAATTGAACGCACCATTTAACCCGTTCTTCTTCACTGCCTTTTTTTTTTCCAGGATCCAGATACAAAGAAGACCTCAGAGACCAAGAACCCGAGGTGAACACAACTTTCTTTTTTTATTTCTCTAACATATGAAGGGACATCAGTTTGAGTTTAATTACTGCAGCCGCCCTGATCTTTTTTTGTACAGATTTCTTTTTATGTGACCCGACAGGTGATGCATTTTCTTCTTCTTCTTCTTTGTCTTTTTCTTCCCAGCTCTGTGAAAAGCCCGAGTCAGAAGGAGAGAGTCAGACCTGGTGAGTTTTTACAGTCAAACAAACTCCGATGATTGGCCAACGCAAAACTATTTATGTGAACAGTAGCCAGGCCATTCAAAGCAACATGTAGAGAATTTGTTTTGGTTACGCTTTGGCGCCCTCTGAAGGTCTCTGAGTGTTACTACACTGTGTCTTCCTGTTGTGACTTCCTGGGTGCTGCTGTGTTGGACTCAGGCAAACCTCTGGCTACGCAAATCCTCGAGCTGCTGCGGGCGGCGCCGGACGGGATCCTGGACCTCAATCGAACCATGCTGACCCTGGAGACCTCCAGTTTTCGAGTGTGGGAAATCACCTGCGTCCTGCAAGGCATCAACCTCGTCGAGAAGATGCCGAGGAACAGGATCAGGTGGATGTGAGTGAACACATGAGACGATGTGGAACTAGTGGACGTCTGCATGTTGGTTTGTTAGTCACTGAGGATGATTTGACCTCCACAGAGGGGGAGATCTGAGCTCCAGCTCTTTGAACCAGCAGCACTTTCAGGCAGAGGTGGAGAACCTGAAGGCGACGGAGGAGAATCTGGACCGCCTCATCAGAAGCTGCTCCGAGCAGCTCTTTGACCTGACGGACGACAAAGATAACGCTGCATATCCTTTAACATCAGGCTGAGCTCAGAGGAGCAAAGAGACCGCTGGTCACCAAGTCAGGGAGTGTTTCTCTGATGTGCTGTTTGTGAGACCTAAAGATCGGGACAGCCTGTGAAATGTATTTAAAACCAAATGGACGAGCTGCAAAACAGTGAAACCCCATATTTTATTGAACAACCTGCAGAAGTTACTTGTCCAGACCGTCCCTCCCATAGTACATTTTAGAGACTCTCGAACAGAATTAAAACAGGATTAGAAATGATTATAGAATTGTTCTGATAAATGTTTAAGTGCTGGTTTCTTTAACATTCCCTGCACTTTGGCCTACGTGACCCCTGAGGACCTCTGCAGGATCGAAGCGTTCCGGCAGCAGGAGGTGATGGTCGTCAAAGCTCCAGATGGAACCAGTTTAAAGATTCCTGCTCCCACTGAGGTAAACCAGTCAAACCAGACGGAAAAACAGATGTGAGGAGGATCGGGTGTGTTAAAGTAACGATGTCAATACAACCCTGTGTGTGTGTGTTCCCTCAGGATTCCATCCAGTTGCATTTCAAAGGGAGGAAGGGTCCCATCCAGGTGCTGACCTGTGACATCAGGACTGGAGACTCGGCGGCAGAGGAGAGCGGCCGCTTCTTAACCGTGGAGGAAAGCCAGATTAAAAGCTCAGCGCTGCACAAAGGTGACAAACTTCATTTAACCATTTCTTTTAAGTTTCCTGAAGAGTTTGTGATCATACAACATCTTTTAAAATGTATAAAATAACTTGCTGTGTCTTCTGCTTTCACAGACTCTGAGGATTCCTCTCTCCTCGTCTTGCAAAGTGTCAACCCACGGCAACCAGTGGAGCTTCCATTAAGTAATGAAGAGGAGTCCAACCAGCACGGTAAACAGAGTTCAGGTGTTTCAAAGGCTGGTTTTTGTTTATTAGCCTGGTTTTTAAGGGTACAGAGTCGGCAATCCAGGAACCCTTCAGCTTTTGTCTGTGGACGATAAATGGTTCATTCAGGTGTGATTTGGCTCGAAATGAAGCCGACCGGACAGTTTTCCAGAAGACGTGCATTAATAGAAAATGAATTTCTTGTTCATCACTTCCTCAGCTCTGACATGTTTTTATAGAAATCTTTCAGTAGAATGAGCAATGTTTGGTTTAGTTCCTAACTCTCCTACATTATCTCTGAATGATGTCAGAGGGGAGCTGGAGGAGAGAGACTCCTGAGCAGGATGCTGAGGACCAAACGATTCAGGGGGAAGACCGACCTTTCCTGGAGGGAACTTTCATCACCGTCTTTAAAGGTATGAGTAGTTCTAGTTAACTCTAACACTTCTATTCATCTTCAAGTTAAAGAGCGTCACCTTACTGTTCATGGAAACCTTTACAGCCGAGTGTGGAGCGCACTGGAGGAAGGAGATCAACTTTACTTATCCCATGTTGGGGGAAATGAAGTCGTTACAACCAGAAAAAAAAAAGAAAATAGCAAAAAGAATAAAACAAAGATGTTTACAGAAATGAAATATAAGAGGAAAAATATTGTGGTCTAGCGATCTTTCTTGAAGGGGGGGCGTCTCAGTCTGGTGTTGAAGGAGCTTCTCAGAGCCCCCACCTTGTCATGCGGGGTTGTCCATGATGGATGTCAGCTTGGCAAACATCCTCCTCTCACCCGCCTCCTCTACAGAGTCCAGAAGACAGTCCAAGCAGATATAAAGTTCTCCTCCTAAGTCTCCTCTAATGAATGTGTGTGGCTCACACAGCTCAAACCCACATGTTATTCATGTTGTCTGTACAGAAGAACCATTCGACCCTGAGCTAAAGGAAAGAGAGCCAACATCCTCACAAGAAGAAAAGGTGAGTGTTTTTAATTTGTTACATTACACTCACTTTAGCTGGATGTTTTATAAACATATTATATTTACATGAAGACGTTTCCTCTGCAGGCTCCTTATGAAGAAGAACCGTCCGACCCTGAGCCTCAGACAGAGAAGACGGTAAGTCGTGATGTGTGTTTGGTTTGTAACATATTAAAGATGTTCTTTGGTCTTTTTAAATAAGTTTCCCCTGTCCTTCATTCATCTACAGGAACTCTGTGGTGGAACATGTGAGGCGAAGACAGAAGTCAGTGCAGCTCCGTACACGCCACAGGAGGAGGAGGTGAGTCTAAAGGGATTCTTGTTAGACTTTAAATTATCTTGGTAGTCCGGGCATAGTGCTGGTCTGTTCTTTATGGGATATCATCTCTATGAGCGTACTCAGATGTTGGGGCCCTCTGGCATCTTTTAGATTACACGGTGAGGTTTGGGCTGTACACAACATGGACTCCGTCACCCGTTCATATCTGAAGCCCAATGATGGCGGTCACTAGTGCTGCAGAACTCGAAACCTTTATTGGTCTTGAGACCACTTTTTGAAGGTCTCGTCTTAGAATCGAAAGCATTTTTTCTCGGTCTTGGACTGTATGGACTCCGGATTTTAAATAAAGACCGGTCAAGACCACCACTGAAAGACTATTTTTCCACGTCCTTACTGTGATAAGAAGGAAAAAGAACAAAAAACTTAAATTAATTTGTAGTTTGATTTTTATCCCCCGGTTACGGTCTAATTGAGTGACACACAAGATGAGGATTTTTCTGTGATATTTATGGTCTTGGTCTTGTCTCGGTCTCAGAGCACTCTGATCTCGGGTATGTCTTGGTCTTAGACCACTCTGGTCTCGGGTGCGTCTTGGTCTCGGAGCACTCTGGTCTCGGGTATGTCTTGGTCTTAGAGCACTCTGGTCTCGGGTGCGCCTTGGTCTCGGAGCACTCTGGTCTCGGGTATGCCTTGGTCTTGGAGCACTCTGGTCTCGGGTATGTCTTGGTCTTGGAGCACTCTGGTCTCGGGTATGTCTTGGTCTTAGAGCACTCTGGTCTCGGGTGCGTCTTGGTCTCGGAGCACTCTGGTCTCGGGTATGCCTTGGTCTTAGAGCACTCTGGTCTCGGGTATGTCTTGGTCTTGGAGCACTCTGGTCTCGGGTATGTCTTGGTCTTGGAGCACTCTGGTCTCGGGTGCGTCTTGGTCTCGGAGCACTCTGGTCTCGGGTATGTCTTGGTCTTGGAGCACTCTGGTCTCGGGTGCGTCTTGGTCTTAGAGCACTCTGGTCTCGGGTATGTCTTGGTCTTGGAGCACTCTGGTCTCGGGTGCGTCTTGTCTCGGAGCACTCTGGTCTCGGAGCACTCTGGTCTCGGGTATGTCTTGGTCTCGGAGCACTCTGGTCTCGGATATGTCTTGGCCTCGGATCACCCTGGTCTTGAGTACGTCTTGGTCTCGGTTAGTGTGGTCTAAACTACAACACTAGCGGTCTCCATATTAACCATGCAGAGTAAACCTTTTGATACCAAAATGTTGACAGCGTTTGTCTGCAGGAGTTTCCCAACACCGCCCGTCTACTTTTCTTTTTGTTTGGTATTGAAACAGATCTTAATTTAGTTTCACACAAAAATCTAACTTCCTCAAAGGTTTCATGACGACAACATTTCATATCTTCTCTGCACAGTTTCAGGCTCCTTATAAAGAAGAACCGTCGGACCCTGAGCCTCAGAAAGAAGAGAAGGTAAGTCGTTTTTAGTGACACCACAGTCATGTGTGACACCAGCTTGAGTGGAAAGAAAACCTTTAATGAACTCCTCCATCTTTCATCTACAGGAACTCTGTGGTGGAACAAGTGAGGTGAAGACAGATGTCAGCACAGCTCCATACAAACCGCAGGATGAGAAGGTGAGTTGGGATATATTCTCTCTTTACACAGTTTGATTACTTCTTGACATTATGGGGCTGTCGGGTAGCAGCTATTGGCTGTATACATCATGGACGTAATCTCAGTGATGTCACCCATTGTTATCTGAAGCCCAACGATGGCGGTCTCTACATTAACCATGCCATGAGTAAACCTTTGGGTACTTCCAACAAAATGTTTCCTCTGCACAGTTTCAGGCTCTTTATAAAGAAGAACCGTCCGACCCTGAGCCTCAGAAAGAAGAGAAGGTAAGTCATGTTTAGTGACGTCACAGTCATGTGTGATGTGTTTGACTTGAGTGAATTTTTCTGTTTCTGTTTTAAACGTGATTTTAAAACATTTGAGTGTTGAGTGATCGAAGAGAAAAACACTCTACAATTCTACAATTCACTGAGCAGACGCTTTTACCCAAAGCGACGTACATCAGAGAGTAAGAACAACACAAGCAAGGATCTAGAAAAAAGGGAACAATGTCAGTAAGAGCAAACGATCAGCTTTGAGTCTGATTGGACACATAGGTGCTGACAGGAAGTGACCAGAGGCAAAGCACAACATTGAGGGCAGTTCTTGAGAGCTCTAATCAGTATAGAAACCATCTTATAAGTCGTCGTTATCAAACAAAAACCATCGTCATTACCATCATCATCATCAATAATATGGAGACCATCATCATTAAGTTAGTAGGTATTCATGAAAGAGCTGGGTCTTTAGCTTTTTCTTAAAGATGCTCTTGGGTTAACGTGTATGCATTCTTTCTTTTCGCTGCAAAAGGGCGTTGAGTCCACTGATCATGGTCCGGACTCTGCACAAAGAGGGGATGGAGGTAGTTTTGATGAAGACGACACATATAACCCTGCTACATGTAGTGACAGATCCAACTGGGATGAAGACGCTGAACCTCCTGCCGACGATACAGCAGCGTCTTCTCCAGAGAGGACAAATCCAGAGCCACAACCCGTAAACTGCACCGAGCTGGAGGATGAGGATTCTACTAACTCTGCAGAACTCAGCATCGATGGCGACGCCTTAACTGACTCTGTACCAGGCTCTGATCATGAATCCACCACAAGCCAAACCCGGAATCTTACAACAACAAAGTCTTCTTTCACTGAAGGGGCAACTATTAAGATTGTGCTCGCCCGCATGGAATCGTCCTGCACTCAGAAAAACTACTGCTACGTTTGCAAGACTCCTCAGTCTAAAATAGCCCATCACCTCAGAAACCATGAAAAAAAAGAGCCCGACATCGCCCGAG